GCATCCTCCTAACAAAGGCTGTTCCCAAATGTGTCACTGATATCATATTCACCTTGAAAGCGACACTAACATTCACACAACTACCCAAACTCAGCTTAGCTGCCTAGCAGATTTCTTTCATAAGCATCTAAAATGGCTAAAGGAGATATTTCTGATTAGATTAGATATAACATAATCCACTTGCATAAAGAAAGAGAAAGTCAAAGGAAAATAAGCAAAAAAAAACAAAAAAACAGAAGTTTACAAAACTTTAGTCTAAATTATTAAATGCTATAGAGACAATGGGACTCCTATCAACCATGCAAGACCTGGTAGACACCAAAACTGTCACCATCACCATAAACAGAACTTAAAGCCTTCATCTTTGAGAGAGAAGAAAATCAAGCTCCACTCTTACTTCAGATCTGAAAAAAGAAAAGGAGTTTCTGTCCATCCTTCCACTGTGAGAAGATAACTCAATGTTATTAGTCTAAAATGTTATTAGTCTCAAGAAGCCATTACGGAGAAAAGGAAAGAGATGTGGAGTAAGATTTTATAGACTGATGAGTCTAAATTTATAATGGGGATTAAATGGATTGTGAAAAGGAAAAATAAAAGCAACAAACTTCAAAGAGTGAACTTTGGATCTGTGGAAAAATATCCCCACAGATGTTTTTTTGAAAAACTGTAAGTCTCCGGAAAAAAAGTAAGCTGTAATAAAAATAAAAGGCGGACACATTAGATACTGAAAATTTTTACATTATGTTTAGTTGTGGAGGCTTCTGCATAATATCCTTTTAAATTAATAAATGATGGATAACTTTAACAACTTTTATTTATTTTGAAAATTAAATAAAGTGTAATCCCTGACTTTTGCACAGTGCTGCACAATGTGAGTATTTCTGTCTTTCAAAGAAAAAACGTCCAAAGCTTTCAAAAAGCTTTTATCTAATCGCACAGTAGTCTTTATTAATTTATGGAATCCTGTTTTTTTGGCTGCAACTTTTTCACCTAAAACACAGTGACGGTATTTCCAAGTGTCCACAATAACAGTACTGTGCAAGTGTGCTGCTTACTCTGGTACACCTTATTACTAATGTACTACAGATATGGTTATTTTCAGTGTCCACTTTAAAACAGTTCTGCAGTACAGACACTTAAACCACCTATTAACTTCTGAAAATGTGTCTCACTCCAATAATTAATGGATAATGCTTATTCGTCAACTCTCAGTGGTGTGAAAAAAACAAGTAAAATTTGATTATATTTAATGTAGCCTTGATATAGCTTCAGCTCCAAAACCAGTCAGTCATACTGGATCAGGACAGCTGTACCAAAATGAGTTTTCACCTTGTTGTTGAGTATGTCAATCTTGTCCTGGTCAAGCCTGTGCTGGCGATTGTAGGCCTCCATGGTGGTGGCGGAGCGCTCCATCTCACGATTCAGCACGCAGACGATGTTCTCGAAGGTGCCCACTTTCAGCTCCAACTCCTGGCAGCGACGACTGAGTTCTGCCACCTTGGTCTTCTCGCTGTGGAGCTGCAGCTCCAGGGCAGCTCCGACCGCAGTGGGCAGAGGGGTGAAGGAGGTGGCCAGGGTTGGTGGCGGAAGTGGGGGAGGTGCACAGGCCCCCTGCACGGGAGCACCCGCACTCAGCTGGCCCATCTTCAGCTCGAGCTCGCGCAGAGACTGGTGCAGCTCCTGGATCTTGTGGCTGGCCAGCTCCAGGCTCTGGGGCTGCAGACTCTCCAGGTTCACCTTGATGCCCATGATGAAGTGCAGCAAGAGGTTCAGGTGCTCATAGGAACATGCCCGCTCATGGTCGTGGATCTTCTCCTTCTCCACCTGAAGGCAAGTAAAAGTCATCTGAGTGATTATATGACAAGAACTACAAAGACATTACATACAGGATCGTGCAATAGGTTTACTTACGGACATGTCACAGCCGACAACATGAAATCTGCAGGGAGTTCGAAATTTGGTACACAGCTTAATGTGGTCCACGTACTTTAAATGAAAGAAAAACAAGAACATTTTAGGAGAAATGTAGCCAAACAAAACACCTTCTGAATAAACAGAGAAAATACTGCTTCAAAACTGTAAACTTCATACTAATATTAATAATAATAACAGCTGAAAAATAAGAATGCTGTCCTAATTTACTTACCTTCTCTCTGGGAATTTTCTTCTTTGCACAGCCTTCACAAATCATTGGGTATTTGGGACAAATCTCATCGTGAGCCTGAAGGGCAAGGTATAACATTTTTCACTCTTCAAAAATCAACCCTTGGTGATCTTCCACAACTAGGCCTGTCACCATCATGAAATATTAGCTGACAATTAATCGCCATTAAATAAAATGCCATTAACAATTTAACAGTTAAACTGTATAAGAAAAAGTACAAATCAAAAGTAGCACCCAGCTGACAACAGATACAGCTCGAGCTCAAATAAACAAACAATACTCACTAGTGCCCTCTAAAGGTGTTAGAGTACTAAGTCAGAAGTTAAAACTTTTGTTATTTTTGTAAGACCCCTGATTTTTCTCAATAAACGATTTTTCAGACTTCTATTATTAACATGTATTCACCCAACTTATAAAAATGCACTTAATTAAATTCTGTTTGTTGTGAAGTAAACACAGGATTGTGAAAGCTAACAACTGTGGGAAATAACTGCAGTCTGCTTGAAGAACTGGGATCAGGCAATTTTATGGTAAGTCCACCCACAACCATGTACGTCATGCTCACATTTAAAAGAAAACAAATCATAAAGCAACTAGACAGCAAAAGCACAATGGCACAAAGATGATTCTTAAATGGTAGAGTGAGCATCACACAGAACACTCTCTCTACCAGTTAGGATCATTTTAACACTAAGATGTTTTTGGGAAACTGTGCCCGGTCCATTTATCTGCATCACAGTAAAATGTCTCACCTTAATGTTTTTGAAATGAAAGGGTTCTTTGCAGTATTTGCAGTTCAGGGTCCTCTCAGGGCATTCTCTCTCATTGTGACGCTCGAGCTCATTGGCCCTTAAAAGCTCTTTGCAGGAGGGACAAGGAATGATCATGAAATCACACTGTCCCTCATGTGTGGCCTGTGAAGAATGACAACAAATGAATATGGTCAAGGTTACAGTTTAGACGCATGAATTTGACTACCAATAAAGATACCGATGACAGGGAAGCACAGTGTACCTCGTATTCTTTGATAGTGCCTGTCCAACTGCATCCTTCATTGATACACACAGCTTCAAGGGCTTCAACTTCTCTTTTGGCAGCATTGTCAGGAAAAGCCTGGAGATTATATAGAGAGAAATGTTATATTCTTACACAGGCTATGCATCAAATTTAAACCTGCCTGCGGCAATAATCAAACCCATTTTATGTAAACACAGGCTGAATATAACATGTAAATCCTTAAATGCTGAAAATGAGTCCAAAATCATTGACCTTAATGATCATTTGATGCCTTGTTTACAGTGTCAACTTACACAGCCTTGTTTCAGAATAGATGTAGGCTCCTCAAATATATCTTCCTTTATACAGGCACTGCATTTCTGTGGACCGGAGCTGAAAAAAAGGCAAATGGGAAAATAATAAGGGGGCATAAATACCACTGTAAAGATGTGGATGAAGACAGTCTGGCTTGCACCTTTTTATTTGGGCTATGACAACTGATTAGTCCCAATACCTACCACAGATCTAATCTGGCTGGCAACAGAGCACAATATAGCTCAGCCAGCTGGCCAGCTACACCCCAACACAGTCTATTGTTTGTCTTATGCCTGAAAGACACCAGCTTCACTACTAATACAAACACCAAAACGTCAGCAAAAAAGCACCAAAAGGGGCTGGTAGGCCATATCCATCTTTTGTTATGTCAGGTAGGGCCAGTCAGATGGATGACAGGCTTGGTAGGAAGCTTATCGTAAAGCTCGACGGCTGCTGTATGTATGTATGGCTCCATGAGTGGCGCTTACCTCACTGTTTTGTTAAAACAATATGAACAGAAACGGTGTCCGCATTGCGCTTGAAACGGCCTCCTGAGGATTTTCTGACAGATGTTGCACAAATGCTTGTCCTCAAGCTTGTTGGCGAGAATTTTCCTCGGGAAGCCAGGTTTGTTGCCTTCTAGTGAAGATGGTGGGGACGGTTCCTGTGCAGCCATTATTCCCGAGCGAGCATGTGACCTGGCTACGGCGAGGAGAGAAATGAAAGTGAGCTCGTCTCTTTCGGTAAAGAAAAAAAAGGGGCTTATATATTTTAGCATGACCTAACCATTACTCATGTTATTAGCCTGCTGTAGAGGTCACTGACTCATGCTGACATGGTTAGCTTAGCCCTATACTGAGGTAAACAGATTCTTCAAACACAAAAGAAACTGTCGTGCTTTGGCATCTTAGCGACTCGCTGACATTTTCCGTCGCGTTTGTTGTAAATTCAGTCCATATTTAGCTTAATTAACTGTTAGTTAACGGCTCCCTACGTTGTGTTAGTATCCCAAATTCCTACCATAATATGTTCGACGAGGTCTGAGCGGTCTGATACCACCATATCGCTCTATCACATGTTACCAGACACATAAAACAGCGCTGTGTTTTTTTATGTCCAGTTTTGGAAATAAATATAACGGTACACGACGTCCCGTCTCGGTTGTTGGTTACGATACAAAAAGATTCATGTCCAGCAGATGGCGCTGCACCCCGAGAACGATGTTTAATACTGCCCCCGCTGCTTCGTTTTCCAAAATAAAAGCCTTGCACCACACGAAAATAATGGTGCTAAATTGAATGCATGTGTGTTTTCTTTCTTTTGTGTAGACACTGGACGTCTTCTACTTCATTCAAGACACGTTTAAGACATGTTCGGACTATTAAAGAAGCAAAGAAAAGTTGAACGTAGCTGTTATCCATGCATGCTGTGGACAACGTCTGGCAGCATAAACAAACGGCCGACCAGCCTTCCTAACGAATAATTACATTTGGTGGTATTTCTATGAACGTATGTAAACGTACTGCTTTTAAGGGATTATTTTGCATTTCTGTTGTATGTGATTTAAAGGAGATTTCCACCGATTTTTTTTTTCTAAATCTGTTTTATTCAGTCTTTAAGATGTAAACAAAGTGATTCATAGTGATTATGTGAAATGGTGCATTGTAGAGAAACTTACCGACTCTTATTTCTTCAACTGGGGGATGTCTACAATGCAGATAACCATTAATTAATTCTTAATTTAACCACGAGCGAATATGCAGGTTTTGTGAGGTTTTATATGTAATGTTGATCATAGTAACAGTGGTATTTTTTTCGTCTTGCAACACCTGCATATATCTCCTCTTCATTTATTTAAAAAAAAAAGTGTTGGGCCAAAATCTTATTGCAAAACTATGAGGAAACAATGTCTCAGGCATCAGGCAACATATGGAACCATTTCTGTAGTAGCATCCTGTGAGAGGTGAGGTAGCTTTGAGAGACATTAAACTCAGACGTTTGGTTACTAGCTAAGCTATAGCTACCTCTGTGAATAATTCGGACTCGGTAAAGTTCTCAATAAACCACTCTGAATGACTTTATTTACAGCAACGTATTAAAGTAAGGAAAAATCTAAGACAAGAATCAGTGGAATTCCCTTTTAAAATAGGCACTGAGACTTTTACTTTGAAACAAAAAGAAAAAAACAAGGTGGAAAAATATTGGGCTTCCTCATCCAGCACTGTTGCTCCTTTCTCGTTAACGAAAGCAAAACTAATACCTAGTTGGTCATGATAGAAATCTTAATTTGAGGTAGCCAAGCCGGTTCGTTTTTTACATGTTTACAGCTTTAGCTACTTTTTTGTGCTGTCACAGATTGGCGAGCTATAGGTTGGTTAGCTAGCTAAGTTAGCTGGTTAGGTTAGCTGTGTTCGGTATTTAATGGCTAACGATAAATCTGATTATAGACAGCAATGCAGTAACTGAATAGCTTTAAATAATTAGCCGACGCCGCTGTTCATTTATCTGTTTCCTTCTCGAGGTGAAAGACTCGGCTGTTGTTGTTCCAGCGACATAAAAAACAAGGTAAGCCCTGAGACACTTTCAGTTACCGGTGGTAACATTATCTGCCCCAGATAACTGCTCGTATCCAAGTATCCAAGAAAGGTAGCTCAGGAAATGCTACACCACTGCGGGTTGCTATCTTTCCAAAGTGGGCATCTTCAGACAGTCTACAAACAAAAGAAGGGCGGGTTAAACCGTATCATATCTCCTGGGTTTCTTTTGTTGAGTTGTGAAAATATTTCTCATGCAAAGTTTCACTGACCGTGAAACGCTTAATGTGTCTATTTGGCCTAAATGTTGTATCAAACTTTCAGACTTGGCTAATCAACTGTTCGCATCTTTCTTTCTATACAGGTTATGGCTGAGGAAAGCACCCAGCTTTGCACCAACTGGTGAGGAGTTTCATTTTCCTCTCACCCTCCCTAAGCCTAACCCTTTCCTCATAAATGCCAGGGGTGGGGGGTGGGGGGCTTTGGTCTTGAAGGAGCAGATTCTTGCACAGTTTGGTGATTTCCCTGCTCAAACACATTGATTCAGTAGCTGTTGGCAAGGTTTAGTAGAAATGCTAGAGCAGGGAAATCACCAAAATGTGCAGGACTTTGCCCCTTAGTTCTCCACCCCTGATATATGCTATTGTTCTCCTTTCCTGGTTGTCATTCTTTCCTCCTGTCCACCTCCACAGCAAGCATGACATCCCAGAGGCCAACTTCACCACACATGAGATCCACTGCCGGCGGAACATTGCCCTGTGTGACGTGTGCCAAGAGCCAGTCCCTCGAGCTGAACTGCCGCAACATAAGGAGCAGGAGCATTCACAGGTAGAAGTAATAGAGATGGCCGATTCAGTACTTAAGCATTGATACTTCTGATCCTCACGTTTCCTGTTTAAAGTCAATCCTCAAAAATATGTTGAAGTGTTTTATTTAAGCAGTAATGGATATTCTTTTTTATGATGCCTGTTATTTGTGTCTTAAAACACTGAAATTGTGAAAAAACACAAAGATAGGATGTCCTAAGGTAGTCATGATGTAACCTCCGGGCTAAACCTTAAAGCAAAGGTGGCACATTAGCTGTTTTGCCATGTGCAAATGACAGACAATTGGCACCCAGCCAACTGGAAGTGAGTGTGGAAACCCACGTGATATGTCATTACTTTCAGTGAGGTGACAAAACTGATAAGAACTTCTATGGGATACAGTTACATCGCAATGATCAGACAAATGTAAAGGACAGTTTATTTTATTTTCATGTCTTTTTGAATGAGGAGAGACTTATTAGCCTGATACTAAAAGCCACATTTGTGTTTCAAATACATATTTGAAAAAACTGATAAAATCGAATAAAAACAGCAAATATAACTTGTATTGTTTGGCTTAAATAATGCACAAAAATGTGGCTTTAGGTCGTTTTAGCTTCTGCGCAAGATGAAGGGACGTACAGAGTTATTACACACCCTTAAACAGTCATGCAGTGTATGTGGTGGTTTATGTAAAACTAAGGCTTTCAAATATACTTTTAATGCACATATTTACTGATTTTCATTGTAGACATCAGAAAGAGTTTCCCCTTTTATGTGCACAAGAAGGCTTAGTATCAGTATTAGTATCGTGATATTACCCTTAGTGTTACTTTGTATTAGATCAAAAAGAAAATTGATGGTCACCCATCCCTAATAACTAAGGCAATGCTGTAACTGTACTTGGTAAAAACTGTCATGCGTACTTTTAAGCAATTCCTAATAGGTGCAGTGCAAATGTGGCCTGAAGATTGAAAAAAGTCTCATGGAGACCCATCAGGTATTGTCCTGTTGATCTGCATGTCATTTATCATTTAATATAGAAACAACCTCTGTCACGATTGTAGTAGTTTACGTAGAGTCTGTTTTTAGAGCTCGGAGTGCAGCCAACGGTTGGTTCCATGTCAGTACTGCGACCTGGAGGTGGTCTTCTGCCAGGCCAGAGAGCATGAGGAGTACTGCGGGACCCGCACAGAGCCGTGCCCTGTCTGCAAATGCAACATTATGCTGAGAGAGAAAGACATCCACCCGGCTTTGTGTGGGAGTCTGACCCCTCCACAGGAGAGACGGACAGGGTCTCAGTCACCTGGAGCTTGGTTTGAGACCCAGCCAATTCACAATCTGCTGAGGGCCCAGGAGAGGAGCCATAACAACAACAGCACTGGGTCAGCAGACCGGAGGGGCCCTCCACGGCCACTAGAGGCCAGACTGCACAATAGCACCAGAGGACCAATAGGAGCCGGAACCAGGAGGAACATGGCGCCAAGGAACAATGAATTTGCTCGCTGTAGGTGCCAGTTGGGAATAAGGGTGGGCGATATAAAAATGAATTTACAATACTTAAACAATATGCATCATTTTTATCTTTCGCAATTTGCACCAGAAATGACTTGATAAACTATGAGAGAATATTTTTCCAGTATTTGCTGAAAACACAGAGCTAATGTAGTAAACAAACACTAGCACATTGGTCAATAGATGCTCAAATATTTTTCCATTAATTTATCTCCAGAACTTCTGTCAAGTTTAGAAGTTTAGTACACAGGATGACTTGCAGGCAGCCATTTTAGACAAATGCAAAATTCCACCTCATCTACAGAATCCACTCCCTTTTTGTGTGCACGCACAAAAAGCATATAGAGCATATAGATGAGCATATAGAGGCTAGATTACATTCGAGATTTTACTGTATTTTTAGACATTTATCTTATTTAAAAATTCATAGTGTCTATATGACGTATGCACACAAAGGGGGAGTCTGAATTTGGCACAACACACCTGTTGTTTAAAATAAGTCATCATCATCTACCACTGCACCCTAGAGTTATTGTTAGCTCATTAGGTCATCTGAAGAGGTAGTCTCCATTACTCCTTTAACTAAAGAATTCCTTTGGTTGTTTTGGAATAATAAGACATATTTTCAAATGTACATTTCTGTGAGCTGCCAAATTTTCATTTGTGCCACGTTTTAGCCTGTTAGCACCAGTTTACCATGTGTATATTTAATTACCAGGTAAAATGCTTTGTTTTAAAGTTTAACTCGTGGATACTCGAATATCAAAATTAGTCAGAATGGACATCGCTGTTTAGAAGCAGCTGGAGAAAGAATAAAATAATTTGTAAAAGTAAGTTAACAAAAAAAAAAACAATGGCATAATGGCCTGACAGCCAGTCAGCTGCTTGGTACTGTGTGTTTACACTGGTGGTTGTAGTTTACAGGCTTTCAATAATTTGTCTACATCTGTCTTTTTTGTGATACATGTAGTTGTTTAGAGTTCTAAAAGTAGTGATGATATTTACAGTATAGTCAGAAAAGCATGTTGTGATGTAATTTCACAGTAATTGCCCAGCCCTAGTTGCAAATCTGTAGAAGTAGTAAATCAGCATGCACTTCTTTGTCTAAACCCTCTCAGAAATTGCTAAGATAATCATCTTCTGATTAGCAGTGCTGTTCTCTTCGTTGGAGAGCATGGTTTAAAAGGCTTGTTATGCTAACAGGATGTCTTTGGCTGTTTTAGTGCGCATAGTAACATAAGCATGTTTGAATGTGCTCATTTCCTCAGTGCTGGATCAGGAAGTGGAGCTGGAGACCAACAACAACAGCCTGCTGTGGCCTCTAGGCCAGCTGCCAGACTACGACTCCTCTGGTCTGGACTACCTGCTGGCTCTCAGCCTGCAGAGTGACGGAGACCAGGACGACCTGGGGACTCAGCAGGGCATATGGACCGATGTCTGGGACCACCGTCTAGGAAGGGAATCTGCCCGAAGCACCCTCAACTCCCAGCTGTCCTCCACCACTAATAACAATACTTACTGCAACAATGCTCCCACTAGCACTAACACAGCTCCGGCTCACAGCCCTGCCTCAGAGATCATGCTGCCCTGTGAGTTCTGTGAAGAGCTCTTTCCAGAAGAGGACCTCATTTTACACCAGGTTAGAGCCAAGCCTTCACTTATCTCTTCCCAGCATATTGCTGCTATGCAGCTTCCTTTTAACACTTGCCCCAACAGTTTCTTTTAGCAGTTTGTTAGTTATGTATATACAAAATGGTGTATAACATCATTACTGTAAAAGCTTGTGTTGAAAGGGCATTTACAGTGGCAGTCAAATGTTTGGACACACAAACGCTCGGGATCATTTGAAAATTTTCAGTACCAATACTGATCTGGAACCTTGAATTCAATACTGTTACCATGAAGTGCCTTTTTTCTTACTGTGATAAACAAGATATGTAGTTAAAAAAAAATAAAGAAATGGAAAAAATTGGGAAAATAATACATCTTAGGTTCCTCTGTTGAGGTATAGTTTTAATAGTTACCACTGATTTGATAATAATCTGACTGTAGAATCTGATAAACACTGAACCATTAAATATGGTCATCCTCTCCAGCCAGTTTGCCTACCTAAACCAGGGAGGTTAACTTGTCAAAATTTTTTATTAAGTTTTATTAATTTGTTAATGACAAATTTGGTTAGTGCCCTGCGACATTCAATTCAACTCACAACTGACATCCTTGATTTTCTTGCTATGATAAAAGATGTGTCTTTGTGGATGACCTCGTTAGCTCAAGAAAAAATGGCCCTAGCACAGTCAGAGCTCTCACCCACAACATGAAAATGAACGTCATACGTCGGACTCATTTATGAAACACTGGGAGATGTGTATATATGTGTGTGTGTGTGTATATATGTGTGTGTGTATATATATATGTGTGTATATATAAAATGTGTATGTGTGTTAATGAAGTAAATGCTAGTTTTAATCAGATATTTTCAAATGCTTAATCCAATTTGATTTGATACACATGATTTGAATAAGAACTGATGTAAATTCTTATCTAAATATGAACATGATTTGATTATATTAGACATTTTGACCCTCTTTATACCTGGTCGTTTCATGTGACCTAGTGTCAGCAGCGTTGCACCTGTTGAGTGGTGGCAGTCCATGAGGCGGTCTTATCCCCATAAGCGTATCATTTGATGTCTGCACTCTTACTCTAAAATGTGCAAGAAATTATTGTACATTTTCTAAGACTTAGAATGGCTTAGCTCATTTTAGTGAACTGTGTTGTTGGGTGGAGATTTGAATGGGAGGTTGCAGGAGTGGTATGCTGGTGTTCAGCTTGTCTTCTGCTTGCTTTGGACTTGTTCCCATAATAGACATGAAGTCAAATACCTTAAACAATAAGGGCGTCAAGCCTTTGCCATATTTTGCTAACAATATGCAAACATGGCTGTGCTTAACAAGTTGCACTTTTCTCACAGCTCTTGAGAAGATACACAGAAATATCCTGGTGAGGACAAAAATGTTGGCTTTAAAAAAGTGGCTTTAAATGAGAGACTGACTGTAAAGGCACTTGTGGAATTACACCCTCAGGCAACTCCATTGTTTATTGTAAGAATACCTAGCAGATTAAGAAAGAGAAGAGTAAGAAAACAGAGCATTAGCATTAGCTTAGTTATTATTGTGCACAAAGTAGAAAGTGGGGAGTTTTAGAGAGAATGAGAGATGGGAACTTCCTGTAGTTAAGCTAGATTAATCAGAAGCAAGTGGAAAAAGTGGATATGCTGATGGTATGCTGGCCTCAGACCATAATTTATATAATTTCTATATACATTATAATAATTCTTATTATATATATATATATATATATATATATATATATATATATATATAAAATAATTGCATTATTATTATTATTCACAATATTGGTCAGAAAAGGTTGGTTTAATAATTGTTCTCATTTGTATTAATTGCAGATAATTTTCCACAATCCTTCAGCCCTTAGATTTACTGATATTCTGGGTTTTTCGACATTAATGTTGTACTTGTTGGTTGTCTAATGTTGACCTGTTTAAAGCACGCTGTAACACTTAAAATATCTTTACCCAGTAGTTTTTATTGGACAAGCTATGTTCATTTTTTTGCCGAAAAAATTATATAAAGAACTTGTAGGGACGCATGATAATAACCGAATCATATTTGTAATTTCTATTTCTATTTTCTATTAAATTTCTATTGAAAAATAATTTCTTACAAACATTGGCATCGAGAGATGTTGAGATTTTACTGATATTTCACAAACATATTTGATGGTGAATTTTTTGTACCCTGGAAAGGCAGTTTAGGTGATGCTGGGCTACTGTAGTAAAATGTCTACATTTTATTGATTTTACTGCATTTGTAACCCTTCGGCAGTCAATGTTACGTTCTCCATAATGCTAATGCAGGTGAATTTTAGTCCCAGTTTCTACATTTAATAAATGTTAATGTATCAGCATTTGCAGATATACACATGTGGAAAATATCTGATTGGGGCATCCTTGATGATCTGGGGATCTGCTAGCAGCAGTGCCTGAATGTAGCCTTATTTTGTTTTGTACATTTTTGACAAGTCCTGCTCCCATAACCCAAAAAAAAAAAACCTGAGACATTAGTTGTGGTTCTGTTGTTTTCCTGTGTTGCATCCAATAACTATTGATGAGAGCTATCTCAAGTTTCAGGCTCCATTTACAGTTAATGCTAGACCACTTCCTTGTCTCTTTTTAAATGTTACTCACTCCATATATAAGTGTTACGTGTTCCATATCATGAAATAGTATAGAAGTATTTTTTTAAAAATCTGAAAATAAAAGGTGCAATTGTAATATTTATAAGAGATTTTTCTCCCTTAACATTGGATAATTCAGTAGTTTAATTTCAAGACCAAGCCTTCTATTTTATTTTATTTTATTAAATCACTATTAGTGTTACAATACTAAAGCATTGCAAAAAGTTCAGCATGAACGAACCGTCTTGATATTCTTGGTACTTTTAAATAACACTTTCAGTGACTGGTGTTTATTTTTGTGTACTTTGTTTCCCAGACTGGATGCAGCCCAGCCTCTGCTATTGCTTCCTTCAGCAAGCAGGATTCGTCTCTACAGTATGAAGACACATTCAGCCACGGGGCCAGTCATGTGATCCTTCCCCGCACCCCCAGCCCTCCAAACCTTCCTCACTCTGTCTCCCCACTGTCCTACAGCCCCCCATCCAGTCCACTAGAGGGCGATGTGGTCATTCCCTGTGAGTTCTGTGGTGTGGCTCTGGAGGAGAATGTTGTATTTCATCACCAGGTACTACAGTCTAAGTGAGACAGAATAAACATCTGGGATTTCTGTTGACCAGTATCATCTTAGCTTGTCATTGATTTTTGTAGAAAGTTTTAGATCCCATAATTCCATTATTTGTACAAATAGATCAGCGTAATCATTTGGTGTAGTAACTGTGGAATCATTGTGAAGTGTTTTACTGTGGAGAATGGAGCAATTTCTGAAACCAAAACTGAATGAAAAACTTTTACCAATTAAGAAAACTTTTAAAAATATTAGCAGTGTATAGAGAATATAAAATTTAATTCGAGGTAGTTGGGGCTTATCATTCCTATTCTGTGTTCATGGTTATTCAGGATAAGTGTGACCTTCGTCCTACAACGGCTTACCAAACAGATGGAGTGTCTCCACGGAAACCCCTCCACCTTCCCAAAGAGAGGTGTGGAAGGAGTTCTCCTGAGAGGCAGAGGAGAGTGAGACACCAGGGTGAGAATACACAAATGCACACATACTGCACACTCTTCTCTTTATCTTAACTATCTTTGTAAGGTAGAGCTTCATTTTATGGACATAAAATATCGTGTTTGAAATGATAGAAAAAATGATGTAAAAAGTGATAAATTATGATTAATGATTTCTAACTATGCAGCCAATACAGGCAAGTACAAATTAACAAAAGCACCATTGACTAGTGTACAAAACTCCAAATAAAAACATTTCACAAATAGCTGTAGTGAAGGGGAAACATGCTTTCAGACACTTACATTTATGAATATGTATATTTTAAGGTTATAAATTGAGTTCTACATATTAATACTGCAAAATAAAAATGTTCTCACTTTGCAGTTTGTTGGGAAGATTTCATGCAGTGTCATTTGTCTTTTTTCCTGATAATAATTAATAATCTAATTTAATTAATAATCTTTCAGATTAATGATTAATAATCTAATAATGATTTCCTGCCTCTGTGTGCACTCATGCAGCAGACCCTGGTGAAGAGTTCCTGGGACCAGCTCTTCAGGGTTGGCAAAGCTGTGGTTCAGGCACAGACCCATGGAAGCCCACTCCCTTCCTGAGTCTTGCCTCATCTGGGAAAAACACCAATGTGGAGCTGCAAGGGAAAAGCAGGAGTCAGCGAGGGAGAACTGCAGAGAACTACACCCTCAGCCCAGATCCTTTGAGTGATGGTGACAAGGCTAGCCCTGCAGGGGCTTTAGGGTAAGGTTTACCTAACCTCAGTGGGCAACATCCATCCCACTCCAAGCTTTGCTGGCTTTCCTAACATGAGCTTAGCCTACACAGTCCAATATGCTGCACCTTTTAGTACCCAGGCATGATTGGGTAGCTGCAACTATATAGAGACCTAGGTTGCTAATGATGTCACTATAGCCATAATAAAGTGAAGCCATGTTTGTACTCTCTCTCTGTGTTGTAAAATGAGTAGTTGTAAAATGAGTGCATTTCTTAATATTGCATAATATTAAAAAAGTAATATATCGCTGTTGTTGGAAGAAAACCTTGTATTTCCAAAATGATAACTTTATGGGAGAAGGAAAAAACCTACTTCACTTTGAATGTAAGTCAATTGAACCAGACTTTTTTCAGCCGTTTCTTTTGGTCCATTCATCATGAAATTTACACACAATGTAAAGGACAACAGGCATCTTCAAATTATCTTTAAAAACGACAAAAATGGAGATACAAGGTTTTCTTCTGACAGCAACAATTATATTAATAATAGTAATAATAATAATAATAATAATATTAATGATAATAATAATAATGCATAATATTAAGATTCTTAAGATTAATTCTGTTACATATCTTTCAAAATTTTTAAAAGGGTGAAAAGGGCAAGTCTATGGGGAACCCATATTAGAGGGGTGTATGTGGAACTCTTATATAATGATGCACTGAAACTAATATCCCTGGCCAAAAGTCAAGGCACTCCTGGCCAAAATGAAAAAACTGGTAATGTAAAAAAAAAAATCAACAGTAAAAATAAATGTGAACTTTTTTTAAAAAATCAACTCATTCTTGCAGCCCTTGTCCAGTGCCATAATATTTTTAGCAATTGAGACATTTTCTGTACACCTTAAGGTAACAGTTGACTGTAAATCTTTCTTGTTCCTCATTACAGGCCTCCTTGCAGAGAAAGAGTAGAGAGTCGGCGCACTCAGAAAAATACCGGGACATCAAAGGTATGTCTTTCAGCCCACTCTAGAATAGACATGGACACTTTGTAAATCTAACGTACATGACATTAGATAAATTGACATTTGGCTACTTATTGTATTATGTTTATACACTATTACATGTCTAATTCCACCTCCAGGTGCCCAAGAAGCAGAATACTGAAAAAGAGGAGGAGTAGAAGTAGACCTGTTTAATATTTTCAGAAGAAATGTGGCTTAGTAATACATTAACTGTACATTGTTTGTGTTTGTTTGTGTGTACCATGTGTGGAGAAAGTGTGTTTGTGTTTAAAAACTCTAAAAATGTATTATATTCTGTTGGTTTCTAAACTACTTTGCCTTTGTTGCACTACTTTTAAAATCTGTGTCATGTCTGTGTTCCAATTTTTTTAATACTTAAAGCTACTTTAATATTTTAAAATTAATCACGACTGGACAGATGCTATAGCTTTTTATATTTTCCTAATACATGTAAGTATAAAAATATATCAGTATATGGTAATATGTTCCATTCTTGTTTTTGCCCGATGTATACCATATACAAAGAAAATCTGAGTATCAGTCCAGACTGAGGCTTTCAGCTTGTGTAATCTTCTGACCAGTTTATTAAAAGCCTCTATCCCAGTTTGTCTCCATGCGTTTATGTAACTGCATTGCTAATGAGGATGTACGCCAGTATAACAAAGGCCATAAGCTGCAAAACAGGTACGGGTGAAGAATCCTGCATCTACCATAACATCATGGTAAATGCATGTATTGTGTGTTTTAATGAGAGCATTGTGGTTTAAAATCACTTGTGTCAGTGTAATAAAAGCTGACTGGGAGTTGCAGGGAGTTTCTGGTTGAGATGTCATTTTGTACACTAGGGATGTTGTTTATGGACCTACCTACCTAGCTGCCTGCACTCTCACGTCATTATATTAGATGATTCTTTAAGTTAACAGTGAGTCTCTGTCAAAGTTGAATGGGAATTTCTGCATAATTCAATAGTTGAGATGTAAGCAAAGCCATTCACAGTGGTCAGAAGTGAAATTATGAATTGTAGAGAAATTTAGACTCGTTTCTTTACAGTGGTGGTGATAGGAACCAGGGGTTCTGATGTCAACAACACAAATATAGCAATGTTTTCTTTATTACAGAAAACCACCGGTGGTTCTTTGACTTACTCTGAAATAGCTTTAAAAGGCATTAACTGCTTCAGATGTCTGGTTACGATCACCACTGTGAGCAATTCTGACTCAGTAAGTTTCAGTAGAATGGAGTATTTCACATCAAACCTTTTTGGAATTACTTTGATTAAATCTTAACCATTTAAATAGGCAGAAATTTTTAAAATCGGTAGAGTTCCCCAGAATGATTTCAGCCCGCTGCTGTAAGAAATAAACATGGTGAAGTCTGGTGGCTGAGCAAACTTAGTGAAGAAACTCTTAAATATAATAAACTCCACTGTGCCTCATTTTCTCTCACAGTGCACTCTTCACTATGGAGCACCTAAGGGGCCGTGGTTAAAAAAAAAAAAAAAGTTAATGACATTGCGTTCCCACGCAAATGTTTTGCGTTCCCTTGCAAATAAAATGCATTCCCTTGCAAATGTTTTTTGATCTTGGATTGAAATATAAAGACACAGTGTCGCTTCTCAAAGTCAAACATGATTATGCTATTAGCACAAACTGAGAACGAATGTCCTTGTACAGTGCTGAATAAACTCAGCATAGACTGGTGAAGCTGGGAAAACAGCTTGTAACGTTAGCTATGCTAAAAGTTCTAATGTAGGCAATGTCGTTGGGCACATCTGGTCCCACGTTTGCTTGTTGTCTGACGAGCATATATTTTGTGAGGGAATGCAAAACGTTTGCGAGGGAACGCAATGTCATTATCTTTTTTTTTTTTAACCACGGCCCTTTAGGGGCTCCTTATTTCACCAATCTACTCTGGTAACAGATTTTTTTCCCTGTCACCAGTGCTGACTGGGTGGATTTTGGTTGGATTTGACGGATGGTGAAGTGCTTTGAGGAGTGTTTTTTTGTTTATTTTTATGACTTACAGTTTCTTTATACAGGCGTTTAATATATGTTTGTCAGGGATGGTAAAATGACGAAAGCTTAGAGCTCCTGTCTTCTCTTCGTAGCAGTGATAACGTAAACACGATCATTTAAAAGACCAACAGTGCATCTGGCACCTTAAATACTTATTTCAAAAGCAGTAACCTACATAACCCATAACGTACTGATGCCGTGTTGGTGAAATGCTGTATTATTTCGTATTATGGTTAAAATAGCCATTTGTCTGGGTGTTTTTCCATGCATTTTTGTCAGGTTTGAACTTGTTTTCTCTGGAAACTGTAGAAGCTAACCATCCGCTAATCTGCTACCACGTCCAGTTCGTAGTTCGTGGCTGCAGGTTTAGGCGGCCCGTCCCTCTCCTGTAGTTCACGATGAACGTACGTACTGAATCTTTCCTACTCTTTAATGGTTTTTGACTTGCTAAATTTGTTCATTGTGCACCAGCCTTTCAGTAACGCTATCTTAGATTATTTTGAACCTTTTAAATCCGAAGTAATCCCGAAGTATGTCGCATGAGTAAATAGCCGCGTTTACTTAGAAACAGTCACGACTGAGGTAGCTAACCTAGCTAGCTAACTTGGCTAACTCTAGCTAAGCTAAAGTCGTTCACACAGCCTGTTCCAGGTAAATGGGTTGTTACTAAACGTGACAGTACAGAATAACTTAATGTTTATCCTCATGTTTTGCCAGCTGTTGCTTACTTACAGACATTTGAAACTAGCTAGCTGGTGAGCTCATAGTGTTTGGACATTAATGTTGCTGATCAACTTCATCAGTTCAGAGTCTTAACGTAACTGACAGACGAGCAATACTACCAAAACGACAAGACAATTATTAATTTTGTCCATTAAGATAGAAACAAATAGTTTTAATCACACTTTAATGGTATCAGTGCTGGGAACTCCACATAATACCTCATAAATTGAACAATATTGTTTCCATGTTGTTCGGCTCTCCTGAAATCCCAGTTCAACCCCTGGTAACATGTAAGTAGCATTTTTGAACAATTTCCCAAAATAGCTTTTTAAACATAATTCTGGATGATGTTAATTGGCTCTCAAACTGATCTACACCCTGTATTCTCTGGGTCTGAATACATTTGAATATATTCTTCCCTCAGACTGGGCTGAACGGCATGGCTGGTAGCTGTATCAGGCTAACAGGCTCCTCCAGTAATAGTTTTGTTTTTTATCAGTCTTTGTAAAACTGCAGCATACAAATTTAAGAGTATAAAAGTCTGTTTTAAATGTCTGTACTTCAGCGAGAGATTGGAATAAATACCCTAAAATGTGGGTACCACTGCTATCTTGGCACTAACATAACATAGAGGTGCTTGCAGAAATTAGGATTATGCTAGCAGTAATAATAGGATGTTTACAAAGCACATTGCTAGATTTGTAAATTAAACTTTCTGTATTGACCCCAGAATTAATCTGTGCATGTAGAGCAACTTCAGAAACTTCAAAAAATCTAATTCATGTTATGATTATGTTAAACTGACTTGTTGGAAAGATGGCATCAACTGAATGTTGTGCTAAAAGTCACTATGATCTTCAGTAAGATAAGTTTCTGTGCTAATGTTTCTGTGTGGATTGCATGGCTACATCACTAATTTTATGCACCTGCTGGCAATGAGTATGGCTGAAATAGCTGAAGCCACTTATTATCCTTTGTCTGGGTCCTTGTTTTATGTAGTGCATATGTACCTAACAAGGGATCCCAAAGACAGTCCTGGGGCCCTTATGCTCTGCACATCTTTGTGTTTTCCCTATTCTACACACCTGACCCACCATTTGTAGAGATTGTTCATTAGTTCATGATCTGGATCAGTTGTGTTGGATGATGGAACGTATAAATCGTCCGTATTGCGGGGTCTCCGCAGTCCCTTATGGATTTTAGCCATAGAAAAAAGGAGCTGTAGGATTTGAAACTGAGTAATACATTGGCTAGTATAGTATCAGTTCAGTCGATATATTATCAATTGTAGATGCCATTATTCTCAAAGCATAGATACCAAAGGTTCCTAAAATTAATCTCATTTGATAAACGTTTTGTAAATATTGGGAAAGACTAAGGTGTTAACTTAAGTCTGACCTTTCTGGGATCCCCAAGGGAAATGTATGTTTCTACACACAGTTATGCATAATGATGGATGCTGAAGAAAAAATAATAATAATAATTAAGCCCCCCTCTTCTGTGTTATCTACTGAACAGATATGCTGAAGTTCAGTCCAAAGCAGTTTTTGAACCTTCCTGTCCTACATTATTTAGTGCTTTGCTAAAAAATTTGAATACCTGATTAAACTTGTCTCCTGATTATCAAGCACTTCATTTATCAAGCATGCGTGGGAGGGGTAAGAGTGAGAGAGAAGTAGACGAGGACTAGGTACACTGTAAAAAGTGTATCGTCAGATCTACTTAAAAAATTACTTCATGTGGTAACAAGTAAATTAACTAGTTTTATTCAACTTAAAACTACATTGATTGAAAGAATCATTCATTCAAAGTATTTATTTAGGTTGAATAAAACTAGTTGATTTAGTTGTTACTACATGAAGTAATTTTTTTTAGGTAAATCTGACGATACACTTTTTACAGTGTAGTCTGACGTCTAAACAATCCTGATGTTTCAACTTCCAGTAACTTTATGTCCACAATGTTTGTTTTCCAGTGTCTGTTGGCGGCAGTTAACGATTAGATAAGAGAAAATAAACAGGGTAAAGGTTGGTTACTGTGCAAATTTAACAAAACACTGAACTCACTCATAATCAACAAAGGTGCAAGAGTTTGGAAAAGGTTCTTGCAGCTATTCGACAGGTAGGTTTCTTGAATTTTCATGAATTTGTACTTCTAACAATATAAATGTCTTAGAGTTAGGAAAATGAGAACATGAGGAAAATTGTAAAGCAGTTGAAAGTGTACAGCAACTCTGGAGCTAATAATAACTTTTGGACACTTCATTCCGACCATCAGTTTTCAGTGAGAATACTCTATCCTTCATCTGAAACTAGTTTGAAATCAAACGAAAAAATCTGGGGTCCTGCACACTTGTCACTACACTGAAAAGTGACATGTTAGATCAACTCTCAGAAAACATCACTTTTCTGTTTTCGTAGAAAAATGGCAAAGAACATCCTCTGCTTGTGGAGTTGTCTTTTTTCAGTATTAATTTACACCAGCGTACATGGAGCTCTGGAACAGGAGACTGAAAACAACATACAGATATTTGAGAACAACAACGATTTTGCTTTCCGTCTGTACAAAAGCATAGTGGCACAACCGGATTCTCAGTCCAAGAATGTGTTCTTCTCTCCACTGAGCGTGTCCATGGCACTGGCTGCCCTTTCTTTAGGAGCAGCTGGTGAGACCCATCAGCAGCTTTTCAGTGGCCTCGGATTCAACAGTTCCAGCAGTGAGGAGGTGCACAAGGCCTTCCTCAATCTCCTACAGAGCCTCAATCAGAGGACAGATGTGGATCTGGAAGTTGGCACTGCTCTCTATGTCCAGGACACTTTTAGGCCTCATGCTGATTTTCTGGAGAAGATGAAGCGTTTCTACCTTTCAGATGGTTTCTCTGTTGATTTCACCAAAACTGCAGAGACCACTGAGCAGATAAACAAGTACGTCAGTGAAAAGACACGCGGCAAAATTAGCAAGTTTATTAAAGATCTGAAATCCAGAACAGTCATGTACCTGCTCAGCTATGTCTATTTCAGGGGTAAGTTGATGGTTCAATTAAGTAAAAGTTTGTCTTTAATAACAACAAATATTATGAATATTTTAAAATGTTTTCATTTTTTAAACTAAAGGTAAATGGCTCATCCCATTCAGCACCAGATCTACTCGAAAGAGAACATTCCATGTGGATGATGAAACTACTGTTCCAGTTCAAATGATGTACAAAAAAGATTTCTTTGATGCCTACTACGATCATCAGCTTTCTGCACAAGTCCTTTTTCTGCACTACAATGATTCGTTTTCCATGATGCTGGCTCTCCCAGAAAAAGGTCTCTGTGCTCTGGAGGAGGTTGTGTCACCACAACACATAGTAAAGTGGCTGAAAAGGATGAAGGAACGGTAATTTGCATTTTGGGATATTCTAACTAATTCTCTTTTAAATGTCTGAGCCTATTTATCAGTTTTTATTTTCTATATTTAAATTTTTGTCATCTTTAGAATTGTATACAAAAGTTTGAAAAGAAAGTATTGAAATGTCTTTTTGTTGATTTTCTAAGTAAAAATAAGTGAACACATCCTCTACTTGGAACAAACTTAAATATGCCATTTTCTACAAATTGTGGTGTCCAATATATTTGCTGACTTCAATATTTTTGAAAAAAACTATATAATGTGCCATAACTTTTGCACATGCCACATTTTCTGTGTTATGTTTTTCCTCAATCTGTTAAATGTATCAAACAAACAGTAATTATTCATTAAAATGTGCAGAAGTGTTGTCTCTCTAGAGGATGTGTTAGAAAATAAACAAAATGTAATTTGAATATGGGTGCCCAAACTTTTGCATACGTCTAAGTGCAGTAAGAGTTTAGTGCAACTTACTTTCCCTATTATAAGGCAAAACAGGCCAAATATAATGGATTGTTTCTCCAGAGTTCTACGATTCTCAATAGGGAATGATGAGAACTATGTTCTTCACTGCCTTTCAAAGTACATGAAAGACCTGACTGCAAAAGCATTGGTGGAAAATTGTAATCTGCTCCTCATTGAATATCAGATTCCATTTCCTTTAATTACAAAGTTCTGCACAGACCATGGTGGCCAAAGTGAGACTGCAGGCCCATGAGGATGATTTTTGGCCCACCCAAAAGTTACCCTCACCCCTTCATGCAATGACAGAACAAACAAATGAACTTTGTTCCATTTTATTGTTTTTACATTGCATTCTTGAAATATTTTAGTGACAAAATATTGTCTAATGTTATACAAAACAAAATTAAAAAAATGTTTTTTGTATTTGAAGACTACCTACCTTCTTTATGTGTGTTGTTTTATCTTCTTGCCGCTTGTGGCCCACTAGAAATTACACTTTGGCCCTCGAAGGCAAAAAGTTTGGGCACTTGTGAAAACCTCATCTGTATCTATTCTTGTAAAAAGCTTGATGGTGCATACATTTAGAAACAAATTTTTCTCTATCTGCAGAGAGTATGAGATCTATGTCCCTAAGCTCTCCCTAAAAACCTCATATTCCCTGAAAGACACTCTGACTGGAATGGGAATGATGGATATGTTTACAAGGAAGGCTAACTTGACTGGGATTTCTTCTGATAAACTATTAGTTACTGAGGTAAGAAACAAATTTCCATTGCAGATCAGAGTTTTCATGCAGCTAGTGATTTGCTTGATTAGAAAGGCACTGATGTACAGTTATTTTAAAGTTTTATCATTTACCCAGATATTCAGGTCAATTTAGAAATGTTGTTTTTTCTTCCTCAGTTTGTGCATCAAGCCAGTCTGGATGTGGATGAAACTGGGGCCACTGCAACTGCTGTGACTGGAGTAGAATTTATGTTTGCTTCATTGTCTTTTACTCCAGTTATCAACTTTAATCGTCCATTTATGATCTTTGTAATTGACCGGCAAAGAAAGACTGTCCTCTTTATGGGGAAGATAGTCAATCCAGAAAATATGACGTGAGATGAAATTAGAAAGTTTTGTCTCTTTGTTTATTGGATTAACATTTTCTAAAATAACTAAGAAACAAAAACAAAAATTAAAATAAAAATTACTACAACTTTTCTCGCTGCACCTTGTACGTGACTTTTTCAGGACAGTGTTTTACATTTGTTATGTCATTAGTTGAAAGTAAAATGGATGTAAGTACATTTTCCAGTCTTCCCAGCTGTTCTGTAGCAATTCCTTGAGATGGAGGGGCCTCTTTGAGTTACTTTGCTTCAGCAACACAACAGATCCTGTATGAGCGGCACATACAGATCCTGACTTCACCAAATCATCTTAAAATTATAGCAGTGGAAGTCAAGTTTTGACTCACCTTTTCATATGTTCCACTACTCAAATGTCCAGGCTCTGCATTTTTGAGTGGCAAGTCTTTTTCCCGCATTCTGTACCCTTAACGATGGCTTATTTGTAGACGTTTTTCCGTCAGACCAGATTTTCATTTCTGAATGGTTAGATGAGTGGACTTGAAAAATTCTTGCCCCAAAGATTGATTGTTATTTGTGCAGGTAGTTGTGTATTGTATTGCTTGAAACTTTTTTTCCAGTTATAACCTGGAGTTTCTGCAGTTTGGCAAAAGCTGTCATAATCATTAATCACTCTTCCTGACTCTGTCTCACATTATTAATGTTGATATTTTCTGTGACATTTTCACATTTGGTTAAAATATTACACTTAGATTTACATACACTTCAACCAGATGTGAGACTGCTCATGCAGATTTGATAAGGTCAGGACAATATATCATTTTATGTAAGTGACAGGGTGCAGGATGTAGTGTGCAGTAGATTAAAGTGAAGGGTAGTGCTGGGCAGCAGTCTGGTCAGAATGGCTAAAGGTCCATCAGGCAGATCTATAAAGTTAACTTATGATCTACGGGAAGCAGCTGTTTATGAAACTGGAGAATTTGGCCTGGATGGTCCGTAACCTTCTTCATATGTTTATCAACTGTTCTAACAAAGGCAAGATAAACAGTGGTTCAAAGTGGGTGTTTAAATGTTCCAATGATCAATATGTGCTTACGCTCACCTGAAAGTACCCTCTTGTCCACAACATACACAGCTGAATGTGTGTTTTAGGTAGTTAAAGCAATTTGGAGGAAAATCTAATTAACACAATTTTCCTGTTAACCCAAATGATGTTTCAGCCAAGACATGTTTGCCATCTAAAGTTTGCATCTGCGATTTTGCACTGAGGTTACGAGCCAATGTAGAAAGCAAAAAATGGATCCCACCAGTTAGCATTGTATAAAACTGAATGCCTAAATTATCACAGGTTCCTTAAAACACACAAAGTATTGATTAATCTAGTATAATTGGTTATGTAAAATCTGATATCATACAAACCCATTTCCAAGAAAGTTGGGACAGTGGTAAAATGTAAATTAAAAAAAAAAAATTCTAAAACATTCCAAAACTCTAAATATGCGCTCATATTGAAATTGATGCCTGCAACACGTTCCTGAAAAGTTGGGACAATGGCAGTTTCAGACTAGAAACACTGTGAAATGTTAAAAAAAGTCATGCCTGGATAGAAAAGGAAAGGAAAGGCCTAGTCCTTTATGAGCAAGGATGGGCGAGGCTTGCCACTTTGCCAAAAATGCATCGTCAAAAAAATACAGCAGTTTAAAAATAACATTCCTTAGTGAACGTAATTTTGGTCTTTTCTGGAATTTTATTGGTATTTTGGTATTTCACCACTTACAGTGCGTAACATCATTAAAAGATTCAGGGAGTCTGGATAAATATCGGTGCATAAAGGGCAAGGCTAAAAACCACAAATGAATGCCTGGGACTTTTGACCTCTTAGATGGCACTGCTTAAAAAACTGGCATGTTTCTGTGATGGCTGTCACCACATGGGCTTGGGAATGCTTTGACAAACTATTGTCAATAAACTCTGTTCAATGGTGCATCCACAAATGCAAGTACACTGTGCTATGGATAGGCCATAAGTCAACAACATCCAGAAATGCTGCTGCTCATTTGAAAAGGACTGATGCACAGTGGAAGTGTGTGCTGTGTTCTGATGAGTAAACCTTTCAGATTGGTTATGGAAAAAATAGACATTATGTTCTACAGGCCAAAGAAAAAATGGACCATCCTGATTGTTGCTAGTGTAAAGTTTAAAAGCCAGGGTTTATGGCATGGGGGGTATTAATGGGTAACTGGCACAACTACTATCCTTTGTTGTGCTGCTGTTTTAGCCTGTAAATATAAAAATACAGTAATGGTAAAATATTCATTTGCTTATTTTTATTTATGTTCTTATGTAACTGCATAGGTTGAATGAATTCCCATCTACAGTTGTATTCCAAAGTTTGAACACCTTTGGTCAAATTACATTTTGTTGTTCTTTCTAAGAGAACATAAGCACACATCCTTGACAAGTTACAAATCTTGGCCCCAGTTTATGCTGTATTTTTACCATATTAAATTTAGCAAATAAACAATAAAAACAACCCCAAACTGGATGCACCGCATCATGTAGCTGATCGCTGCTATAAAATGCCAGCAGGGAGAGCTGATAAATGTCAAGTTTAACAATAGTTTTTCATTTTTGGATGGTGCGTGACACAGTGTGGTGCGTGCAGTGTGCACTGGCTTTAATTGTGCATTCAATTTGTGCAGGAGTGTGTGTCCTGTAGAGTATTTGTCTGTGTTTTAATCAAAGCTTCATAATTCAGCTTGCAGCCTGAAGTTGCTCTGCCCTTTCTTCTACCTCAACAAGGTTCAATCTTAATGGTTTAGAAGATGAGAAATCACCCTACTGCTAGGGATTGTGAAAAAAACACGTTTTAGCTAGATAACAGCAGATTTTTAGATGTAGATAAGGTTTACTAGAAGGGGTTGGATATTTCACACCCTGTCTGCATGAAAGCCCCAGGAGCCATGGGAGACCATGACCTTGAGCTGCATTAGGGGTAGTAAACTCTAGTAAACTCTATTTTCCATTCATCACACGTATAGGCCTCTTCCAGTTTGAGCAGATTCCCTTTGGGCTGTGCATTATTTGTTATTATTGATATAATTGTTTGTCCTCTTTGTGTTAAATCATTTGCAAGGTAACTGTAACAAAAAAAGGGTTTCCAGCAGAAGGCATGAGGCAGTATTTATGGACTTGGACTCTGTATTGGCGAATACTAAAAATGTGTGCTTGTACTGAAAAAAATGGTGTCGATGGTAACTAGTCCGCTAACTCCTGTTAATTAAAAAAAATCCAGTTACTTAGCTCATTTGTTCTACAAACATTTTTTTTCTGTGCTGTTCAGCACTTTCAGTAAACAAGAGTTGCTTGATAAAATAAAGCCTATTTCTAGAAGAGAAACTGATGCACTTTAAGAGATTTCTAAATTGTTCTTGGTTGTTCTTTGTAGGGGTACAAATCATTGGCATTCAACCTATTACGGAAGCCTATTGCCACCAGGCAGAGGAGGGGGAAAAATTAAAAAATCAATAGATTAACAATATATAACTTATTACTTATTTTCTCAGCAGTGGACTTACTGTGTTTTATAATTACTTATTGTCTCTAAATTTTTACTTATTATTTGACATAGTGTGTTGAAATAATGAGTTAAGAAAGTATTTTATGATTACTTTATGAAGTCCAAATATTGAGATAGTACGATACATGTTTAAAAAATATATTCTACATTTAAAAAGTGTCAATGATTTTGAGATATGTCCAGAATTTTAGAACATAAATCATTATTTTAACTCAGTATTCAGAAATAATCAGAAATTATTTCAAAGAAAAAAACACAGACCCCAACCCCCCACCCCCGCAAGAACAAGCGCAAGAGTTGTTGGCTAATACAGAAAATACTCGTCTAAACGATTCTGTTTATTTCAGCATTTAAATGATCAATATGTGGGGGTGGCTCATCAGAATGTACAGTCATGTCCACGGCGTTTGACCAGTCTGTGGCTGTTAATGATTACAATGAATTTAGACCAAAGACACAGAAAACAAACAGTGTAAAGGTTGGTTACTGTGCAAATTTAACACAGCAGAGCACTTACTTATCATCAACAGAGGTGAATGTGTTTGGAGAAGGTGGTTGCAGCTACTTGACGGGTGAGTGTCTTAATTTTTTTCACAATTTTGCTAAACCAGAAGAAATTTAAAAAGTCTTAGGCTGATTTGCATCTGTAAAACATATGCAAATTTGACGACTCCCACAAAAATATGTCAGAATTTATCTGCTAACTCAGCCAACAAAGGACTGCATTGTTCACATAACCAAATAAACATGTCAAAGTTTGGATGTTTGCTTTTATGAATTTGTAATTTGTCTTCTGCTAAAGGGTGAAAAATAGAAAGCACTGTCAATGAAAATACATAAATTTAGCACCAGCAAGATTACATCATTTTTAATATGGCAATTGTATGTGTAAGTTGCTGCAATGGAAAAGCAAATACTAATCTGATGCATATTTTGCAGCATGGATGTCACTGTATTTTTAGTGTTTGGGCTAGTATGTTATGCCTTTTTAAGGTTAAAATTACCATTGCGTATGCAATATATATAAAATATATATCACTGTTGTTAGAAGAAAACCTCATATCTCCAAAATGGTAAGTTTACAGGAGAAGAAAAAAACCTACTTTACTTTTAATGTGGAACTTTTCAGTGGAACCAGACTTTTTTTTGCAAGTCATTTTGGGTCGTTTCTTTCGGTCCATTCTTTATGAAATGTCAATGTAAAGGCCAACATGCATTTTCAAATTATGTCAAAAACTGAAAAACGACAAAAATGGAGATCCAAGCTTTTCTTCCAACAGCAGCGATATCTATGCATCCTTTAAGTGGATTTAAAGGAAGGTCAGGCTTGACTTATGGAAACAATAAAATAAAACTGTCAAGTGGATGGAAATGGAGGAATGTTCTAAAAAATTAGCAGCATTATATGGCTTTTTAAAAAGTACATATATATTTATATATAATATAACTGTCGGTTGGATGTGTCATTTTTGTGTTTTCGTAGAAAAATGGCAAAGAACATCCTCTGCTTGTGGAGTTGTCTTTTTTCAGTATTAATTTACACCAGCGTACATGGAGCTCTGGAACAGGAGACTGAAAACAACATACAGATATTTGAGAACAACAACGATTTTGCTTTCCGTCTGTACAAAAGCATAGTGGCACAACCGGATTCTCAGTCCAAGAATGTGTTCTTCTCTCCACTGAGCGTGTCCATGGCACTGGCTGCCCTTTCTTTAGGAGCAGCTGGTGAGACCCATCAGCAGCTTTTCAGCGGACTTGGATTCAAAAGTTCCAGCAGTGAGGAGGTGCACAAGGCCTTCCTCAATCTCCTACAGACCCTCAATCAGAGGACAGATGTGGATCTGGAGGTTGGCACTGCTCTCTATGTCCAGGACACTTTTAGGCCTCATGCTGATTTTCTGGAGAAGATGAAGCGTTTCTACCTTTCAGATGGTTTCTCTGTTGATTTCACCAAAACTGCAGAGACCACTGAGCAGATAAACAAGTACGTCAGTGAAAAGACACGCGGCAAAATTAGCAAGTTTATTAAAGATCTGGATTCCAGAACAGTCATGTACCTGCTCAGCTATGTCTATTTCAAGGGTAAGTTTACTTAATGTGTCTGATTTGACTGTCACATTTATGGTTGTTTCATGTTCATGACTATGCCCTTTATAACAATACATGCTTACATTTTTTTTCCAAAGGTAAATGGCTCATCCCATTCAACCCCAAATCTACTGAACAGAGGAACTTCCATGTGGATGATGAAACTACTGTTCCCATTCAAATGATGTATAAAAAGGATTACTTTGATGCCTACTACGATCATCAGCTTTCTGCACAAGTCCTTTTTCTGCACTACAATGATTCGTTTTCCATGATGCTGGCTCTCCCAGAGAAGGGTCTCAGTGCTCTGGAGGAGACTGTATCTCTACAACACATAGTAAAGTGGCTGAGATGGAAGAAGAAACAGTAATTTGCATTTTAAGTGAATTTGAGATTTGTACACATTGCAAAAAAATTCCTGAAATTGTTGAAATTTGTGCTAATGTAATTAAATTAATATAAATTACTATGCTGAACAGTCATTCATCAACAATCATTGATGGCTGATCATTCTGATATTTGCAATGCATTTTTCTTAATTTGCAGAAAATATGAGATATATGTACCCAAGCTGTCCCTAAAAACATCATATTCCTTGGAAAACATTCTGACTGGAATGGGAATGACAGACATGTTTACAAACAAAGCTAACTTCACTGGGATTTCTTCTGAGGAAAATCTGTTTGTGTCTGAGGTAAGGGAACAAATCCGGATTACAGGTAATGCATACTACTTCATTTAATCCTTTTGCATAATCTGTAATTACACTATGTGTTCTCATTTAAACCTCATTTTAGCTGTTTACAGTTTTTCTTATTTTCTGGTGTAAATAACTTTGAGACCTTTGTAGCTAAATAACAGTTTTGTAGCTAGAATGAAAAGTGTTTTATAAACAAAGAAGCAGGAGGGTTAAGGTTAAACTGGCCACTTCACTGCATAGCAAATCCTTCTGAATTTTGCTGACAGTACTGGAGTTATGAAACATCAGAGTATTTGCTCAGTTGCTGTCAGTTGCTTGGTTAGTTGTCTTTTTGTAAGTCGCTCTGGATAAGAGCATCTGCTAAATGATGTAAATGTAAATGTAAATGTAAATGTAGTTGCCTGGTTAGCTCAGTTGGTAGAGCATGAGACTCTTATTCTCAGGGTTGGGGGTTCGAGGCCCATGTTGGTTGTGACGTGATCAGTTTATTGTGAATTTCCCTGAATAAAGGATTGTCTTATCTAACTGGAAATATGTTTTTTCCCCAGGCTGAGCATCAAGCTAGTCTGGATGTGGATGAAACTGGGGCCACTGCAACTGCGGTGACTGGACTAGGCATCATGCCCTTTTCATGGACCTACACTCCAGTTCTAGACTTCAATCACCCATTTATGATCTTTATTGTTGACCGGAAAACAACAAACATCCTCTTTATGGGGAAAATTGTCAATCCAGCAAAAAAAGATGCAAACCAATAAGGAAAGTTTTGTCCTTTTGTTTATTGATTTGACGTTTTCTGAGCTAATTGTAATCAGTAACGTGCATTAAACTGTACAGTTTCTCTCTGTACCTTTTGCATGACTTTCATATAGCGCTGCAGTACTTCACTGATGTTTGGTATTAGTGTCTCTTAACTGTTACTTCTTATTTCTGATAAAGTTGAGACTGTCCTGGAATTGGTAGATATGGAGGACCTTCTGGGTGTTTTTATTGCTTTGACTTGTCTGTCCAGGTCATCCTGAGCAGTAGAACTGTTAGAGGTCACCAAATCTGTCATTCAGCAAAACAACCCTGACCATGACCACCACCTCACCATCATACAAAGCACATCAGTTGAATTTCAATTTTTGACACATTGTTCTGTCATTCCACAACACAAATGTCCAGTTTTTGGTCATGTGAGTCCATTTGTCTTATTCTGCACCCTTGACCACTGCTTTAATCACTAATATTCTTCCATTTAGGCCTTCATATCTCTGAACAGTTGATATGAAATGTACTTCTAGTAACATTTAGGAGTTCTTGGGCAAGTACCTCCCAGTTTTGCTGACTCAAATGTCCTTAGTTGATTCTGAGCTTTGACCTGAAGATGTCAATACTTTCAGTTTTTTTGACTGGTTCTTTGTTTGTTTGTTTTTTGGGCCACATTAAATAAAGAAACTTACAAAAACTTGTACTTGTGATTTGTCGTAAGGCTGCCCTCAATGTCTTAAAGTGATTGGAGGCTGCATTTTTGCTTATGTAAACATATTTGTCCAGATATATGCTTTGTGCTCCCTTACATCCAGGACCACGTTCACACTCTTATGCACACTTCAGACTGGTTAGATTGATTCAGGCTAAATTAAATGAATGACCATTAAAATTGACATGATTTGTAATGTAAAATATATTACATACCGTCCTTGGGGGGAAAAAAAACCCTTTATAGATCCAGCAAAACCATCAGTACCCAACCTCATCCACAAAGGTCTGTGCACTGTCTATAGGAGAGCTTATCATCCAAATAAAGCATTAAATTCACTGTGTGTTTTAGCACCAAAATGACCAAAACATATAAGACTATAGTGTTACTGATGTTTGTATTTTTGGACCCTTTTTGTGGTTCGTTTTCGTGAACCCACAGTTAAATGTGTTGGAAAATGTCTTCTTGGAGGTTTTATATCAAATTTATTATACATTCGTCTTGGCAATGGACTTTTATTGGTACAGCTATACTGTCAGTGTGTAAAGTTACAGGCTTCTCTTTCAGAAAATACAGCTTTAATTTCATTGCAATCCCTAAAAAGTGTCACAGTGTGGTCTATATAAGCACTTATCATGTACATAAAGTATAAAAATTGCCTAGAATTTTTGGACCAAAATGGCCAAAATACGTAAGACTATAGTCTTACTGTTATGTGTAGTTTTGAATGATTTCTTTCATGAAAAAAATCTGTTAAATCTGCTTGAAAATGTGTCCACATGGTGGATTATATCAAAAATGTTGCAATTTTTTCCTAGAAACAAACCTTTATTGGTCCAGTTAAACCATCCAAACCAATCAGCTTACCTTTTAGAAAATACAGCTGATTATTCATTTTATTATTAGCTGTGTATGTTATATTCATTGCTTTAAAATTAATGGAAAAAGTTTTTGCACTATCTATAGGAGCATTTAGCATTATAATAAAGACCAAATGAACTATGCATTTTAACACCCAAATGACCAAATTAGGTAATACTATAGTCTTACATATGAGCACATTTTTGGGCTGTTCCTAAATTCCCTTCATTTTCATGAAAACACACTTAAGTCTGTTACAAAATGTCTCCACGTGGGGTATTATATCAAAGATGTTGCATATTCTTCCTGAAAATTGATTTCAGTTTCTACAGCAAAATCACAGTTGCCAAAACTTGACGTGAATCTTTCTGTAAATACTGTTTTATTTTCATTAAAATCACTAGAAAAAGTCACAGTGTGGTTTCTATAAGCAGTTACCACACAAAGACAGCATAAAAATCACAAAGCATTTTTGGACCAATAAGGTTATAATACATAGGACTACAGCTTTACTGTTGTGTGCATTTTTAACCATTTTTAAATTCCTTTACATTTCTTGGAAAAACACTTAAATATGCTCTAAAATGTGTCCACATGGTGTATTATATCAAATATGTAGCAGATTTTTTCTGGGAAGCAGATTAAAATTGCTACAGCAAAATCATAGCTGCCAAAACTTGAAAGTGAATCTCTCTGTAAATATTCTTTTGTTTGTGTTAAAATCACTAGAAATTGTCACAGTGTGGTTTATATAAGCAGTTACCACACAAATACAGCATAAAAATCACAATGTATTTTTGGACCAATAAGGTTCAAAAACATAGGACTACAGCTTTACTGTTGTGTGTATTTTTAACCATTTTTAAATTCCTTTAAATTTCTTGGAAAAACACTTAAATATGTTCTAAAATGTGTCCACATGATGTATTAAATCCAATATTTCCAAATTCTTCTTGGAAAAATACTTTATTATTGGTCCAGCGAGTCCGCTGGTACTTAAGATCATTAGATTAAGCTTTCAAAATGCAGTGTTTTGTTTTTTTTCTTGCAATGAAATGTTTGGAAAATTACAATTTCTGTAGGAGCACTTACCATCCAAATCTAGAGTAAAATTCATCATTAATTTTAGCACCAAAATAGTCAGTATAGGTAAGACTATAGTTTTACTGTTGGACCATTTTTGGACTCTTCATAGATTCTTCTTGGAAAGAAACCTTCATAGGTCCAGCAACACCATCCATATATAAACTCATGAGCTTATCTATTTTTCAAAGTGATGCTTTTTTTCCTTGAAATGATTGGAAAATGTATTTGCACTGTTTGTACTTCTACTTACCATATAAATAAAGCACACAATTCACTCTGCACTGTAGATACGACCAAACATATAAGTGACCAAAACATATAAGACTATAGTGTTACTGATGTTTGTATTTTTGGACCCTTTTTGTGGTTTGTTTTCATGAACCCACAGTTAAATGTGTTGGAAAATGTCTTCTTGGAGGTTTTATCAAATCAAAACATCAAATTTATTATACATTCGTCTTGGCAACGGACTTTTATTGGTACAGCTAAACTGTCAGTGTGTAAAGTTAGAGGCTTCTCTTTCAGAAAATACAGCTTTAATTTCATTGCAATCCCTAAAAAATGTCACAGTGTGGTCTATATAAGCACTTACAATGTACATAAAGTTTAAAAATTGCCTTGAATTTATGGACCAAAATGGCCAAAATACGTAAGATTATAGTCTTACTGTTATGTGTAGTTTTGAATGATTTCTTTCATGAAAACACAAAATCTGTTTGAAAATGTGTCCACATGGTGGATTATGTCAAAAATGTTGCATTTTTTTCTTGGAAACAAACTTTTATTGGTCCAGTTAAACCATCCATACCTAAAGCAATCAGCTTACCTTTTGAAAAATACAGTTTATTATTTATCTTATGAATAGATATGTATATTATGTTTAGAATTTATTGCTTTGAAATCAATGGAAAAAGGTTTTTCAATGTCTATAGCAGTATTTAGCATTACAATAAAGACCAAAATGAATTATGCATTTTAACACCAAAATGACCAAATTAGGTAATACTATAGTCTTACATATGAGCACATTTTTGGACTGTTCCTAAATTCCCTTCATTTTCATGAAAACACACCTTTTTTCATGAAAACAAATTTTTCTTGGAAATATACTTTTTCATTTCAGTCCAGCGAGTCCACTGGTAATCATTAGATTACGCTTTTAAAATGCAGTGTTTTGTTTTTTATGCACTGAAATGTTTGGAAAATGTGCTCACATTGTCTGTAGGAGCACAAATTCATGATAAATTTTAGAACCAAAATGGTCAATATAGTTAAGACTATAGTCTTACTGTCGGACCATTTTTGGACTCTTCATAGATTCCATTGATTTTCATGAAAACACATTGAATTCAGTTGGAAAATGTCACACATGATGTTTTATGAAAGTAAACTGCAACTCCTTCTTGGAACGAAACCTTCACAGGTCCAGCGACACCATCCATACATAAACTCATGAGCTTCTCACTTAAAAACAGATGTTTTTTTAGCTTGAAATGATTGGAAAATGTATTTGCACGGTTTGTAGAAGCTTTACTACTTAAATAAAACACAATTCATTTTGCATTTTAGCACCAAAATGGCCAAAATACATGCTATAGTCTTACTGTAAGGTAACAATTTTTCATTAAAACACACTTAAATGTGTTTGAAAATGTGTCCAGGGCATATATTATATGCAATTTATTCCAAACTCTTCTTACAAAAATATTTTATTGGTCTGGCAAAACTATCTGTACAAGCTCTTCAGCTTATCGTTTTCAAAATACTATGAAAAGAGATTATGAGTTGAAATCTTTGGGAAATGTCCTTTCATTGTCTATAGAAGCATTTACCATCCAAATAAAACCTAAAGTAATCCATCAATTAGTCAATTAGTAGCACCAAAAATGCAGGTAAGACATTAAGTATTAAATATGCACAACCTTGGTTGCATTTTTGGACCATTCCTTAATTTGATCACTGACTCCATTGATACATCAACAGCATCAGTACCTGACTTTATAGGTTTCTCTTTCTAAACATAGTTTAATTGTCATTAAAATTACTGATTGCATTATTTTTGCATTAGTGTTGTAAAATTAAAAGCAATGTCCAATTTTACCTTTGAAGAGGTTTCAAAAGTCTGGGTTAGTTCATTTTTTACACAATAACTTATTAAGAATTCACAATACTGTAGTAATTTAAGAAAAAGTTCATCTAAAAGTTTTTTGTAAATGAAATTAATACAAAAATTCTGCCAAAGTAGAAATTAATGTTGCAGGAAGTTCATTACTGTTTTTTGGCCAGAAGATGGCAGTGATGTCACATTCTTACATCGTCCAATAAAATCATTCTTGGGTATAAAAAACAAAAATGTTTGAGATTCATTTTAGAAAAAGACATTAGTGACAAGAATTGAATATTAGGTTTTACAGCAACATCATACAGTGCTTTTAACACATCTATTTGATAAAATAACTCTCATTTGCCTTATTGTATAAAATAAAATACAACATATCCAAACCATTTGAATTGAGATATTTATTTCTTTCTTTCCATAATATTCTATTCTTCACATGCACGTTAAACACTTATTAGTTAAAAAAGTTCAGTATCTTTATATATATATATATATATATATATATGTATATACACACACACATATTATAAAGCCAGGTGTATGTACGTATATATATATATATATATATATATATATATATATAACTCTCCCTCCTGTTGCCCTTCGTGTTACTAGCAAGAAAACTGAGTGAAGCCTTTTAAACCTTTCCTTTCTTTATTCTATTCTTTTCTTCTCAAAGGAGAAACCCTTAAAAGTTATTTGTGTAACTTTGTTCTACTATTTATATGTAATTTCACAATTACACTGATAATTACTTCACATTCTTTGTTGACACTTTCGAGTTTGCACTTTCCATTTTGCATTTCTATGCTGCAATGGGCAACACGTCCAAAATAAGATGGTACACAGGATAACAAATTCAAATTTGATTGAATCCATATAATTAAAACAACTCCCCCTTCTAAGTATGAATGGATTCAAAGATTAGAATCTGCAATTTCAACAGAATTGCTCTGCTTGTTTCACTGAGCTATGATTGAGAAATAATGAATATCAAAATACACCATTATACCATGCATTTGTTATCACCATTAGACCTCTAAGGGTTAAAAAAGACAGGTGAGTAAATGTACCAAAGCATAATGTTGCTGTTGAGACCTTGTATTTCCAAAATGCTAAAAAAGGGCGAAGAAAGAGACCATTTCTGTTGGTCTGCTCATCGGGACACTTTGAGATAATATAAAGGGCACTGTAAAATTATACAAATATATATATATATATATATATATATATATATATATATATATCGTTAGATTTTGTCACATTATGTAGTTTTGTATGCAGCCAAAATACCTCCCTCATTTTGGAGGACATCGACTGTGCTGTCATCCAGAGCCTTTTTATCAGTCTGACTGAACAAAGACTGCCACAGAAATCTTGCTACTGTTGGCAGTTTTCGTGAGCACCAGCGAGGAGCGAACACTTGAACCGAGAGTAATATCAGCGAGCACAATGAAAAATCTGTGAGGATGAGAAAGTTGTAAAACTGTAGTACACTGTACACGGCTGCAGGTCGCATGACAGATCATCAAGGCGCCTGTTAAGTTCAGCTGTATCTGCCTGAAGCACAACTCAAACGTAGGGCACACTGTAAGTATAGGTTTATTTAAGCAATTTGCAAAGGACCATAAATGCATACCGACTCCCTTTACCATTCCACAGCTTCAGATCATGCATAGTAGGACCATACGGGACTATACAAAGGCTACATCATCATAATTTAGGGTTATTCATATGTGCACAATTATGAAAATATTAAAACCACAACTGGTGCTTCTTAAAAAATACCATCACTGACTCTACTTTGGTAGAAAGAAACATGACATATGTAAATTACATATTTAGTGTGGCTTCTTCATACATACATAGACCTCATGTACTGCAAGTCAACATTCTGTTGCATTTGTTTTTTATTTTACACTCTAACTCTCTAGTTTTTCAAATCCGTTATGCCCATACGTCTCTACCCATATGGGATATTACGTCTAACATCTGTTGGTTTGATATGTTTAAGCATCAAGTAGTTCTATGCATGAGTTCAGTTTCCATTGCACAGTATTCACAATATTGTACAAATAAAAGGCAGAGAGGATGGCTGAGTAGTGACCTGATACTGAACCTGAGCCCTGGGAGCATATGCATCAAACACATCACAGTGCTGATCAGGGATCAGTGCTGCCGCCCATATTCTAGTCAACCCAAATCCGTTTAAAGAGGCGTAGCTGATCCCAGATCAGCCCTCAACACTTTAAACATACAGGCCCAGAGGTGGTGCCAATAAAATCCACTATGCAGCACTGAGCAGAAGGTTGTTTAAAACTACTTATCTGGGCAATGTGTACATATAAAATGGCTTATAACATTGTAATAAATGCAATGAATATGAATATGGTAAAAAAACAAAAACATTTTCCCATTTTCTGCAACGGTACTGATATTAAGGATGCAAAAATATGGAAATAGTGGGCTAACGCAGATATTTGATATTTTTAAGTACATAATCTGCCGATGCTGATACTTAAAATAACTTGGAACTAAATCTACCTGTATCTGCATTACTTGTGGAGTAGCTACCTGGAGTAGCATTATTTTATTTGTAAAGGGTTACAAAAGCAGTAAAAAGTATAAATTCTGGATCGTGTGATGGGAGGAGCCCTAACCAGTGGGTGGAATTGGAAACGACTAAACTGGGGAGAAAACTGAGGGAAAAGAACACAACTTGTGTTTATTTGTATTTACGCTAATGTTAGAATTTTTTCTAAGCAAGTAAATGATAACTGTCCAGATAAACAGCTTAAGACTTCTGTACAGTACAGCAGTGCTTGTCCTTCAAGCTTCGAGGGAACGAGTGAAGTTGAAAGTGTGCAAAGTTTAAAGCCTTTTTTCCTAAAGGAAACATCCAGTAAGGATTCCTGGAACTGGCGAGTGCAGACAGTAGGACCGGATGCAGATGTTTCTCCATGTGGCGGAGCTGTCCATGGTGATGAACATGGCTAGTTGAATGGCCATGCACTTTATGGTCTATACTGAGGCGTGCATATACTGTAAAGGCCATGGTACACTGACGACTTTTGAAGGTTACACAAACGTATGTCTTCCTGCTGCAGGGCTGAAATCTACGATGAAAAAATGAAGCATTACTAAGCAATACATACCGGACAAAACAGAGAAAAAAGAGGCCTTCGCTTCAAAACGTTGGCAGTGTATCAAGGACTCCAACAGTGAGTATTTGACAAAATGCTCAGTTCATGAGAAAATGAACAAGCCATCATGCAGAACAGTGTGGGTAGGGGTGGGTGTGTGTGTGTGTGGGGGGGGGTGGTATCTGGTATCTGTGCAGGTGTATCTGTGTTTAAAGGCAGGTCAATAAGTTAATTACCCACTTAACTGTGTCTTGAGTCCACTTTCTAGAGACACTATACGTAACAGTCAGTAAATAAATAAATAAATAAACACTGGATGGAGATGAAGGTTGAAGAGGAGAAACAGCAGGAGGAGAAAGCGAACTCTACAACACTGAACCAGCTGCCCACAAGACACCAAGAGTCTGTGCTGTCCATGCAGTCTTCTCTTTCCTTCTTTTATCTCTTAACTGCTTTCCTCCAGATGGCAAACAGTGTCCAGAGGGTAACTGGAGAAAATGCCGGTATGGTTGAGAGAGTGATTTGATCGCGGTGGTGCTGACGTATCTTCAGTGTGACCGTGCAGGAACGTCCGGGTTTAGTTGTAACTCCTCTGAAGATCAAGGTGAAGATGAAGGTTGAGAGTGGAGTCATCAAACAGAGGGTTCTTCACTTCCATCTCGCCAGTCTAGAGTGAGAGAGAGGAAGGAAGATTTTATTAAAGGCTACGTTCACATTACCAGGTTGAAGTGGCACAAATCTGATTTTTGCCCTAATGTGACTCAGATCTGATGTTTTCAGGGCTGTGTGGACACGCAAATCTGATCTTTTCAAATCCTACCTGTGCCACTTTCATAAGTGGTCCTATATCAGATACGTATCCGATTCGTGGCCATGCGACCTTAATGTGACGCTCAGATCAGAATTCATGTGTGTTCTTTCCACTGCGCGTGTGCCATCATTCAGCGTTACCATGGCAGCAGCACTGAACAGAAGTTAAAGCCTGTAAACGGTGGAAAAGGAGCACATCTCACCTTTTTTGTCTTTGTCTTGCTCTAATAATAAACAGCTGAGAGCTGTTCAGAGTTCATTATCTTCGCAGCAAAGGCTCGTTCTGCTCGTTAGTTCGTTTGATAATAATGCACGTGACACACGTGATTCATTCACGTGACGTTACTGAGTAGGATGTGAGCATGCGGGTCATTTCAGGACGCCAGTTCGTTCACATTAATGACAGATTTAAATCACTTTCCTAAATGAGTGTGAACCATCGTGTCAGAGAGATCAGATTTGAGCAAAAAAACGGATTTAAGCAATGAGGCTTGGAATCTGAACGTAGCCTAAGAAGGGATTAGTTACAGGTTGAAGGCGCCAGCTTGTAAACATTAAGGTTTAGAGACATTGCTGTAGTGAGGCCAACTAACATTAGCCAACTTCATTTTAGCTGAATGGTTAGAAAATGACCCACACTTTTACCGTAATCAGAGAAAAAAAAAGCTGAACATTAAACTCACCACACGATTGCTTACCTCACGTGTAACTGGTTAATGTTAGTTACTATAACAACTGACAGCATACCACAGCAAACACAGGCTAATTAACCAGAGACGTTTTACAGCACTGGGTGTAGATGTTAAGGCAGAATCGTTGATTAAAATGATGTTCTTGCAGCTTTTTCACAGTAATGCTAATATAACTTTTTTTAATAACTTTTTTTGTTTTTTACTATGTTCAAGTACAACTACGTTCTCGCCATGGTTGCATTTTTGCATGATCTGAGATGGCATGGAGCTGCGGAACATCAGCTCAGTGATAGCATCTGCTGAAGATTTGTGATCTAAGGAGAGCTTTATCAGTCTTTTTTATTTATTTAAGGTGGAAAAAAGTCATGAGGATGCAAGACCTCAGAGCCTTTGACCATGACGACTCTATATTTGTACGTTTTCATTGGCATTGAAGAACTAATGGTGAGAAATCCAGAGGGGCCTGGCTTCCAAGTTTGGTAGCCTTCGCCCCCACCCCCTGCCCACCTCCCATAGCTACACCCCGGTACACACTGTATATCACTGTAGGTGGCAAATAATAGCATTGATTCTACCTGCAGGGAAGTGCCCTATGGTAGACCACCCTTAGAGAGATTTCCACCCACAGTAACTCTACTTACTGGAGCGAGTCCAGGGCATTCATACACAGTGAAGTCTCCATCCTCATTCTCCTCATCAGAAGTGGCTCCTGATTCTGGGTATCTTGGGTTCATCTCTTTGCCTGAACACAGAGAAGAACAATTAGCAAGAAAACTAACAACAATAATAGAAACTCTCACATCAAGGACAATGAAGACTGTATCCTCTTTAAGCCATCATTTAATAGATGGTCCACTGTAGATGTCTCGAGATACTGTCTTTAACACTCACTCACTTAACTTTTAAACAGAATTCTATTCCTATTCACTCTGATGGCCAGTCTTTTCAGACCCAGATTAAGCCTAAACCTAGACTAAATAGGATTTTTAATGGTGAAATACCACTGGCATGGGAATTTAGTCCTAGAGTAGGGTTAATCCATGTCCAAAAATCAGCCACAACAGTCAGTTACCTGGAAGGGATCAAGCCTAAACACTTACAAAAAGATGGTTCTTCAAGGAATCTTTAGTAAAGAAAATGGTTCCATATAGAAACAGAGTATGCACACTCTCCCTTTGCATGATTAAAGGGTTCTTTGCATTGAGAAATTATTCTTCTGATTGATGGAGAATGTGATGTAGACGGTTCTATATAAAACCTTTTTGAAAAGGGTTCTATATAGCACCATAAAGGGTTCTTCTGTTGTTACAACCTTGACATCGTAACAATAAAAGAACCCTTTTTGGTGCTATATAGCACCCTTTTCAAAAAGGTTTTCTATAGAACTATCTACAGCACATTCTGAAGAACACTTTCATGGCGCAAAGAACCTGTTAATCATGCAAAGGGTTGTTTGTACGTTCATAGTTCTATGTAGAACCATTTTCTTTACTAAAGAACCCTTGAAGAACCTGGTACAGAGCATTCAGAATGGGGATTCTCCATCGATAGAAAACAGTAGTCCAAGATTAGGCTTACTCCCTGTCTGGGCAACGGACCCAAAAAATGTACTAAATGGTTGTTTTCTATGAAAAACCTTTAATTATGTGAAGGTTCTTTAAGCTTTAAGTTTTAGAAAAGGTTCTTCACAATCACAAATCTCTTGTACAAACATGGTTCAGCCACTGAAAGGTTCTTTAGGGAACTGTAAGTGGTTGTTCTATGGCTCCAAAGAACTCTTTTTACAACATTTATCTTAAAGCATAGGTCAAACATTAGCCAGGCGGTGAAATAAATACAAAAAAATGCGATCATTAATGTTGAGCAGCTTCTTGTTGCTGTTTTGTTTAATTATTAAAATCATATACTACTGTTCGGAATCACTCATTAATAATAATCATTCATAACTTTCTTTTATTTTAAATTTTATGTATATTTAGAATGAATTCTGGATATTAATTTTATTCTAACTTAATTCTCTGTTATCTCTATATAGAGCTTTCTCAGTAATTTTAGTATCCTGTATCCTGTTTAGTATCCCCCATTCCACTTTTTAGGTCCCAAAAAGAGGACAATTTGGAGATGTGTGGTCACCCTACATTATGTCAAAATATGCTTAAAAGGAAAACTCAAGATCAGCAGTTTCTGCCAGAAAGTTTGTTAACAACGTCAACTTCAGCCTTTGTAGAACAGCTACATAACATATGACCGAGATATTTTCTGTACAAGGGCCCTAAAATGGAACAGAGGATGGAGGCTGGCAGGGTAGAACGTGGAGCTCAGATGTGAAGTGGTGTGGAGTGATTGCTATTTGTTGTAATGCCGTATCTATATCTACTCACTTCAGAGACAACATCTGCTGCTTCTGATGCTGATAGTGGTACATCTGAGCGCTCTGGGCCAGCTTTTTATCTCCAGACTGAAAGCCGACGACAAGAGAAAGAGAGTGAACACGAGGTAAATGCATCGTTCCATAATATGTGTTTGTATGTAAATCTCTGTCTGTGTTTATATGATTTCACTCACAGAAGTGCTGTCGTAAGAATGAGGGCTCATCACCCCGAAGGCTGGATAGTCCACTTTCTGAGCCAGACGACTTCCTCTCTGCATCCTGTCAGAGAAAATTCAGCATGACCAGCTGCCTTTACACGAATTTGATCACATTTTTGTTCAATTACAGTTTCTGCTGCTCTAATTAGACACACTTGAAAACCTTTTGATGTTGTTGTTCCAAGGTTCTATCTATCATACTGCGCACATTCCACACAAATTGAGACTGAAACCTCACCTGAGCCAACACACTCCAGCCAGGACCAAGGCCACTGAACCCACCATGAGACACACTCCTGTCATAACTGCAGAGAGAACACAGACAATGAGAAAGAGAGTAGAGAAGAGACTGACATTAACAGCTAATTAAAGTAGTTAATGCAAACAGTAATAAATTATAGCCGTGCAACTGGAACATCTGTATTTATGTAAACATTAATGACATATTAGTGTGGAAAAGTAAATCAAAGATGAACTCCAAACACATTACGAGGCGGATGTTTTCCTAACCATCTTTTCTGCTTATTGATCTCAGATTCAGTCTGAGGAGCCCATCAGAATCAGCAGATGTTTTCACACAACCCATTAAATGCTCAGCAACCACACTTCAGTATCTCAGTCCCATAACCACACAATTTAGTTAGCTGTGATTGAAGCCGTTGTAAAACACTCACAACAACTGAATCCTATATTGATGCGTGAAGTCTATGTGCTGTGAATGGACTGTTATGATGCTCATTTGGACCATGACAACTTATTTTCTTAATAACTAGGCCAAAAGATAGCAGGCTAAACAAGCTAAAAGATCGCTTACAGGCTAAACCTCTCCTCTATTAATATTCAGTGTCAAGCTTTAAATTATTTACTAAATGATTCCCTATAAAACTGCAACATAAAAAGGAAAGAATATGTTCCTTGAATTCCTTGCTTTAAAAAAGTCCATGTTGTTGGTATTAAACTCAGTATGGGAAAACAAATGTGTGGTAATGTTAGCTTGAAGCTAACCCAACACAGGAAATCACACAGGTGCAATTTAGCATTATCATTACGGTGGTCATTTGGTGAGCAAAATTTCATATAAAGCAAAGATTTCTTAATTAGTTAAACACTAGTACAGTCGTATTGCAGATGTTTGAACACGCCTGGTCAAAGTACAGTGTTGATTTTCTAAGTGAAAATAAATTAACACATGCTTTATTGAGAACACACCTAAATATGGCAGTATATTTAATTATAAGCCTAGAGATAATGTGTTACAGTGATTTTACCATGGGTCACGTCTTGCCTAAAAACAGCCCACCCACTGATCAAACCATAGTAATGCATGGCCTCTTGTGGCTTATTGCTTGAATAATTGTTTAAGCATCGAGATTCACTTTATTGACCACCAAAAAGGTGGAAATTTGCCTTTTGTGCTTATTTTTGGCCAAAATAAAATTACTGGGCTAAAATTAAAAAGTGTATTGTTTTGTTTGCTGTATATCATCAATATCAGAGCAAAACCTCATATCTAACTTTCCAGGTGATGGAAAAACCATTCTTAACTTGTAATGGAAGTTAATGTACCAAGACTGTTTTCTAAACAATTCTGGACCATGTCTATTGATCTGTTTATCATGAAATTTTAACACAATGCAAAGGATAACTGGAGTTTTCAAATTATGCAAAAAAGTGAACATAAATTAACACATGCTCCACAGAGAACGTACATTTTTTTGCACCATTTCTTTCTTTTTTAACATATTAAAAAAAGGAATCAAAAATAAACATATAAAATGTGCCTTGACTTCTGCACAAGCCACATTTTATGTTCTTTTGGCCAATTTGTTAAAGAAAAAGTGTAATTGTGCATTAAAATGTGCAGAGGTGTGGTCTCTGTAGAGGATGTGGTAACTTATTTTCACTAATCAATAAAAGATGGAATTTGATTTGTTTTGCATGTGACTCTAACCCACTACTGTGTACATCGCTCCTTCGGTCACGTTTAAATATTCAGTGTAATTTTAAACATAATTTTGAAATCATAATAAATTGTGACATCTGAGAATTCATGATGCACTGAATCATTGCTGAAAGGAAAAGAACTGAAACAGTGTGAGGTCAGAGATTTACACTCCTATTAGTCAATGAATAATTTACACCAGTCACTGAATAATATGTCTTATGACTAATAGCTGAATAATGCAGCTGTAGGTTCAGAGGTTAAAGAGGAAAACGTACTGATGAAAGAGTGGTCCTCAGAGGGGTAGGGGATGATGATGGGGGCGCTCTGCACTGCTGAGAACAGGGGCCTGCCGGGGCTGGGACTGGGACTGGGAGAGCTTGGGCTGGTCGTTCGTGACGATGTGGTCAGTGCGCTGGATACAGGACGTCCTGTCGGGGCATAGCTGGGAGAGGCTACTGGTCTGTAGTGACCTCTTAGCTGTGAGGGGTCCTCCTTCACTTTAGGAGTAACCTGAGAGGGCGCTGTGGAAGAAAATAAAGGGGTTAAGAAGCTTAAATGACTAATGGATTTGTTTCAAGCTATTCTAAATAAGACAATGTCAGAATGGCCTTATTTAAATAGTTTGAGAATTTATTTCTCATTGATTTCACAAATACATTTTTAAAAACAATTTCAACAAAGTAATTTCATTTATTGAATTCATTGATTTCACATGATAAATACATCACAAACCACTTAAAAAAGAAATTCATGTTTCCAGAAAATAATACAATAATGATATCTGTGGTAATCAGTTTAGGTTGCTCTGTTATGCCATGTAAGCTGTTTATCTGATGAAGTGTGCAGGTCTTTCTGTGCGTGTTTGTATGAGTATTATATCTTATATTTTTTTAAATGATGATGTGCATGTTCTGCTACCTGTATATTTCATCTCAGACTCTCTGTGTTTGGTGATGATGGAGGAGAGAAAGTCAATCTCTTCATCTAGCTCAGGGAGCTCATCCACTTCTGTGTGAGAGAGAGAGACAAAGAGAGAGAGAGACTATTACTATCTGTGTGCACTCATTATTTTCCACATTTCCACGTGTCAATTCATTTCCAAATACAGTGTCCAGTTTAGTAGGTACATCCACATTGTATCGACACTCATTGGCCATTTGTTTTTTCAGAAAAACAGACAAACAAAAAAAAACATATATAGTCACATGCAAAAGTTTGGGCAACACTTATCAAATATTCGTTAAATGTTACACTTAGCAAATAAACAGAAATTGAGCAAGCAAATTTCATATTTAAGTGTGTTCTCTGTAAAAGATGTGTTCACTAATTTTCACTTAGAAAATCAACTAAACGTAATGTGACTAGGGGTGTTCAAACTTTTGCATATGACTTTGCAGGTTTAGAGTTACTGACTGTAACCAGTAATCTGTAATCTGTTGCTGCACAATAGATAAGCCCCTCTCTACTCCCTCCATCATTGAAAAGGGACCACTACAGGAGCATAACTGACCAGATATTATTTGAGCAATGGACCACTCTCAGCACTGCAGTGACGCTGACATGATGCTGGCATGTTAGTGTGTGTGGTGCTGGTATGAGTGCATCAGACACAGCAGTGCTGCTGAAGTTTTCACTTTCATGTCACTGCTGGGTTGAAAATGATCCACCAACATGATATATACAGCCAACAGTGGCCCTGTGGTCAGAAACTGGAGGACTAAAGGATGACACACAGAAAACAAAGACAAGCTATAGTCTGTAAGTGTACAGCTACATGGTGTCCCAACAAGGTAGGTGTTTCTAATAAATTGGCCTGTAAAGGAAAGCAACTGTAAAGTAAAATAGGTGCATAACCTGATGCATATCCACCAGCACTACATACACTACCATCCTGGTATTACTGTTGTTTGTAAAACTACAAAGGACGTGTATATGGTCAGTGTTTGGATGAAATGGCCAATTAGTTTAGAAATAAAAAAGGAAGCTCACTGAATTTCACACAGACAGAGATTTGCCTATAAATACATATATATGACATTCCATATAGTCACATAATTACAAATTACAAACAAGCATAAACATAAACAGTAAAAAGTAACAAGAATTTCCGGTAAAACTTTGTATACGATTAATAAACTCTTAACAGATTATCAGTAACACGTCAACAACATATCAGTGGAGTAGCAGTAGTGAAGCATCTGAATACACTGAAGTAAATATCTTGTAGATGTTCTGTTGATACATTAAGTAGATGTACTGTTAATATGTTACTTCCATTACGCAAAACCTAACCTTACCCAACCTTACCCACACCTAACTCTAACCCTGGCCCTAATCCTAACCCTAACCTTAACCTCATCCCAAAACCTAATCCTAACCCTCATAGGTTTTTGACATGTTACTGAGAGTCCGTTGAGTATTTGTTTCATCTAAAAAGATCACACAGAATAAAACAGTTGTTATCTTGTGAGCTAGCTGGAAGAACTGCGTTTGTTTTCATAGATTTGTTAAATTCCATATTCAAACTTTAATGAAGTATTGATTAGCCAGATCAGGTACTGAATGATGACTACAATTAATACTGTTCTGTCAGGAGGAGAGGTTTGAAAATTAAGCTAAATACACTGACATACACACAGCCACTGCTTACTGTATGAATGTAATTTACATTTATTCTCATATTCGTGTTCCTCTGAGCAAATCAATTCCAACTGCCCCTTTAAACAGCCTTTTTAAATCTAATTTTCTCCTTTTTCTAAGTCTGTACAGTACTGTACATGAACAGAGGAACTGGAGTGGAAGCAAAGAAAGCTGCCAGTGCTCTCTGATTTAAAGCGCAATTGTGAAAGTGCTGCTCACAGGATTTACAGTGTATTTCAGCACCACTGACAGTTCCTCTAGCAGTATATTACTTCATCCCAGTGGAAAAGCCCTGCGTACTACAGGCCACAACGAACAATCAATCTCATTCGTGTAAAGAGTATAAAACGCAAACATGAAAACATGTTTTGGAAAAACACGAGAACAACAATCAATGCCTGGGGAAATAAACCAGGAACGTATGAAATCTAATGGAAAAAATACAGCAATCCTATTCAGCAAAACCACATTAGTGAGGTTCAAGGGCTGCATGACACTGTGATCATGTTCTGCATTTGTGACGTTATGAGAAGGATAATACGTTCCATAAAATGCATAATACATGCACAGTCGTAGCTGTTATATAAGGAGTAATTTTACAAACCTGGCAAAATTAGGCAATTTAGATATCCTGAAATAGAAGGAAGCATATTCCTCTGGGTAAGCATGAGTCATACTAATATTAGATGTGACTTGTTTGTGTGTCTCTCTATAAAATGCATGCATACATGATTTGTTTGCAAATGCTACAGTTTAAGCACAATATTGCACATGCTATTTGTCTAAGGAAACCACTGCATGCCACAAGCAGGTCATAGTCTTCGGGATAGGGGCATTTATGTATGTGTGAGTGAATCAGTACAGCACAAAAGTCAGAGACCACCCTTCATTTATTTAATTTCCAGTTAAAACAGCAGAAGACATTCATTTTTCAGCATTAAGAAAAAAGCAGTAAAGATATGTTGCTGCTGTCGGAACAAAAACTCGTATCTCCAAAATGGTAACTTTACAGGAGAAGGAAAAAACATACTATACTTGTAATGTAAGTCAACGGAACCAGACTTTATTATATTATATAACCAGAAGTTATTTTGGGCCGTTTCTTTTGATCCATTCATCATAAAATTTACAGACAATGTAAAGGCCAACAGGAATTTTCACATTATGTCAAAAACTGAAAAACGTCAAAAATGGAGATACAACGTTTTGTTCCGACAACAGTGATATGTAACAGAAAATTACACAAAAGCCCCAACAACTAAATATAATATACAATTTTTCAGTATTTACTGTGTCCACACCTTCATTTTATTACAGCTTCTATTCTTTTCAGGAGACTTATTTTCAGCTTTTCTAAGAAATCTGCAGGGATTTAATATAGCCAAATATAATATATATATATATATATATAGATATATATATATATATATATATCATCACTACCCATTTATCGTCTTACATTTATCTTCATTTCAATGATATTTTAAATTCTCACCCATCTATATGTATTTTTGCCACATAGGACTTTCACATATACATTCTAACTGAAGACTTTTTTTCATAGGTTTCCATATTTATTTTTTCCAGTAAAGTATTTTAGAGTCTTTCAAAGGCTGAGTATTTTTTGTTTGGCCCTTTTTAAATCAGCAGACTACCTGATTACTAATATAATCGCCAGTGGCAGACGTACATTAGACCGAATGGAAGACAGCAGCACAATAATGCATTAAAGCTGTAAAATGCCCTAAAACATGCATCTGCATTGAACATATGCTCATATGAAGAATGATCTGCTATGTGTGTGTCAGTTTGATGCAGTGTGTGTGTGGATGTGAGTGCTGCAGTGTGGACGTGTGTGTGTGAGCTGATGTGTGTGCCACGCGGGCACGCCGCAGTGTGTGTGTGGGTGGATGGGTCAGCACGGCTGTCCTGCAGTGCTGCTCTGTCGACGTGGGAGTTGGAGCAAGCAGGCTGGGGGTGGGCGGAGCCTCATCAAATTCATGAATGAAACCCATAACCATGGCAACAGATGGAAAAGCCGAGGGGGTGGGGGGGGCCACCCTGAAGACTAAACAAGTGGATGGAAAGAACCGGAGGATGCGGTGAATGTGCTAAATGTGAGATTCAGCCCCGGAATGTTCCGGAATGTTCCATGCTCAAACTTGGAAAGTTCCATCTATAAGCAGCAGTGAGTTTATCTGGTTGTTGTTCTTTTTTCCTCGGTCTATTTTCAGAAACGTGACACAGAAGATTTTTGTAGCACCTTATTTTGATGGTCCACTCACCCTGTCTTTAACTAATACGAGCATCTAAAACCTAACACAACAGGAAGGCTCTAAAAAGGGTTCTTTGGAGTCTCACAGGAGAACCACTTTGGAGCAATGCCATTCCCTTGAGAATGTTTTTAATTGGATGGCTCTTTACCAAACTATTCTTGTAAATGAGACATTTTTCATCAACATTTTTCCTAGAACTGTATGTCTAGGCCAAGAACCAGTTAGGAACCTCTATTTTTAAGAGGTGCCAGAAAGGGCTCTTCACGCAATGCCATAGAAGAACGACTCTGGTTCTCTAAAGAACCTTTCAATGGATGGCTCTTTAGAGAATCATTTTTGTAAATGAGACATGCGAGCATGAAGAACCTTTTTAAGGTTTAAAGAACCTCCAGATGTAAAAGTGCTAGAAAGAACAGTTCTTATAATGCATTATGTTAACAATTCATAATGCATAATAAGCATGGCTATAACATGTAATGCATTTTAATAAATATTTATAGCCACGTTTTTAATGCCTTATGAATGCATTATAACATGTTATAAATGTGTTTATAGATGCTTACAAATGTGACATTCATAGAAAGTGTTACTGATGGGATTTGTTCTTTGGTAAGAACAGAATCTACGCTCATGCAGGAGCACAAAGATGCCAACAATTCTGCGGTTTAACAACACATCATGAACCTGACATGGACTTTTTCTTAGGATCTTTCTCAAGAACAAATTTAAGAAAACACTTAGGAAGTTATTGGTGAATGAGGCCCAATGTTCTTCAGGGAACCAAGAGTGGCTTCACTCAAATAACCCTTTGAGCATTTTTTTAAAAGAGTACAATCGTAATTCTACACCTAACACTGCCAGTGAGGTTCACCAGATAGTTCAACAATTTGCTGACCAAGTCTGACGAAGTTTCAAGACTGTCAACTGAATAACAATGAGTGTTAAAATGGACCTTTGTCTTTATTTAACAGGATTCAGTGAGTGATACTAATTCAGTTCCTAGTCACGCCTGGGTGGCTGGCTGAAACCTTTAATTCAATATTCACAACAGGCTGGCCAGAGGCAATCAATGTCTCTATTCAAACCACCAAA